AAGAAATCGCCGCCCCTGCTTGGGTGTCCCATGTCAAACTCCAGCGGACGGTACGCGTGTCCCTACGCCCCCCCCCCCCCCCCGGATTTCCGCCGAGTGCCCTTGGTGTCCATTTGGTTCATTAGGCTCTGTAGTTGAGTGTGCATGATATCTATTGGCACTTACCTTTTTAATTCATCTATTCCTATTCCAGCAGAACAATATGTTGTGGCGAAGATATGAAGAACATTCCAAGGTATTATATCGGCTGCATGGAGGTTTAACTTTAATCGGCTTTTATTTCCGATCCTAACAGTTTGTTATGAAGATCCAAAAAGACCTGGTAACGCAAGCATCTAATCAAGATGAAATGTGGTGCTCTCTCGACTTCCTTTACCCAAATGCTCACAACGCAGATCATAATCCATTTAAACACAGTCCTTGTCCTTGTGAGTCCTTGTGAAACTCTACACGCTTCCTCTTCACCGCTTGTATTATTACTTTACATTGTTTGTAATATAACCCAAGCCCACTCGCATGATGATGTATTATCTTTCAAGTATGTACGATTAACTCACAAAAGAGGTATAATAAATAGAATCAGACTATCTGTCCATTTTTCTTTCACTTGATCGAGCATAAGGGGAGTGGGATGGGTTTACAAAATAAGATAAAAACAACAATAATTAATCCGTGGTACATGTAAAATGAGACATTAAAGTGGATGAGCTTATTATGATTATGAAAGAGACATATACATTTATCTTTAACCCTCGGTAGAAACCAAGCGCGTAGCCAGGATTTCATTTTAGGGGGGGGCGGTGAGCACGCGAAGCGTGCGAATCACTTACAGAGCGCGCTCCCTGGGGGGGGGGGGGGTGGGTGCAGGGAGGGGGGAGTTTTTCCCCTCCATCGCGAAGCGCGAAAGCTTTGACGTTTCATTGCATTATTAGAAAAAGAAGACGATTCGTTGGACCGTTCTCGACTCTTAATCCTTATCTAAATTCAGTTTCTTTTGACGTTTCATTAGAGAAAGAAGACGATTCGTTGTACCGTCCTCGACTCTTAATCCTTGTTTGAAACAAGTTCCCCTTCCTCCGCGCATAGCGCGGAAGCTCTAACGTTTCATTAGATTATTAACGAAAGAAGACAATTCGTTGTACCGTTCTCAAACGACTCGTAATCCTTGTCTGAATTCAGTTTCCCCCACTCCCGCGCGAAGCTTTGACGTTTCATAAATTATTAGAGAAAGAAGACAATTCGTTGTACCGTTCTCGACTCTTAATCCTTTTTCTTCCTACGTCCTCTTCCTTTTTTTTTTTCTCTTTTTTTTTTTGCCCCCCCCCCCCCCCCCCCCCCCCCCCCCCCCCCCTCTGGCTACGCGCCTGGTAGATGTAGGAGAGACATTTCCTCTTTAACATACATAATGAGAGGGAACTACAGAAACAGAGATAGAATAGAGATGGAGAGAGGGACAAAGAGAAAGAGCATGATAAATAATATAGAAACAGGGAGTGAGAAAGAAAGATAAGAGATATGGGGAGGGAGAAGAGAGAGAGAGAGAGAGAGAGAGAGAGAGAGAGAGAGAGAGAGAGAGGGAGAGAGAGAGGGGGGATGGGCGTTCATTTTCATTTCACAGCTTCACCATAATAAGTATTTCAAAACTAAATCGCCGTTCTGGGTTTGCATGAAGATCGACTTACTTATAAAATGGTAATAAATATTATTATAACGTGAAGTGTGATAGCCAGATATATTATTTTTGTTATCGATGATTCCGCTGTAAATACCTTAGATTGCCTTTATGGATTACTCAAGTGTTTTTTATAATTATTATCAAGTTTTCAATGAAACAAGTGAAACAATTGGGATCTAGGTGGAAGAAATAATGAAACTACGAAAGAATTATTTGTACTTTTGATCAATTACTTTCGATTTTCTTCTTGTTATAGTGTGGAAACTTCTCACTTGTGCAAATCTCTGTCCAGCACCGTGGAAAATACTTTTAGTCAATTGTACTAATGATAAACCATATTATAATATAATATTTGATAAAAGACATATCAGGACAATTAGGCCTTAAAAAAAAAGGAATGTTGTTTTTCCTTTTAGGTGCCAAAACATGGGTCGGAAATCTTTTTCTTCTTCTTCGTCTCCCTCTTGGGCTGATATTTCTCAGTTTTGAATGCTTTAATATTTTTTTTCTTTAAAAAACCGACCGTACATATCAAGATTTTGGGGTCGGTCGGTCGCAAAGGACAAACAACTTTATTTGTTTAGTCCTTACCCCTGGACAATCACCCTCCGAAAAACTACCACCAAGGACAATACCCCCTCCCCTCAGAAAGTTACCACCCAAGGACAATTACCCCCCCCCCCCCAGGACAATTAGGGGTGGGGGTAATTGTTCTAGGGGTAAATTTCCGGGGGGGGGGTTGATTGTCCCGCTGGTAATTGGCCAAGGGGCGATTGTCCTAGAACCGATAAAATATCGCTTCAAAGTTGTTAAAGATGCTTCATTATTGTGTAATTACTAATGTATTTCTCTACAATATTTGTGTGTCGTTTTATGTGTTTTAAATGAACTGTAAATGTTCATGTCATGAGATTTAAGACTTATATACATTATATGCAAACATAAAATCCATTAACAAACATTCTATTTCAAGCATTTGTATAATTTTTCTTTATTAGAAACATTTCATTCAACATTGTATATAAAATTGATTTTACAAGCATAGAAATATAGAATATAGAATTTCACTACGTTCAGTTTGGATTGATTGTAAATTGAAATTTTAAATCTGAAATACAATATATAAAATACGTGTCTTTGTACATATTCAATATAAAATCATGATGATGAATCATTTCAAAACCGCTTTTACAGGCTACTCAAAATCTTCTTTGGGAGTGTTTCTAAAGACAATCATATTTTTACACATAACAGGACATGAAACATCAGCCAGTCAATATAGTATTGACATTACATTTCATAGCATTGTATTCTAAATAAGAACCATTATAACGAAGTATTTTCTATAAAAATATCAAAAATCTAGCAGTAAAAGTCCCTTGTCGTATCAAACTGTTTTACAAACCATTGACATCATATCGTCGATTTTCTTTCTTCTCCGAAAGGATCACATGCTTAAGTGCCTAATTTAATTAATTAAGTACTGTCGATGTAGATTTGAACACAATTTACTATAATCATTTCAGTTAATATATTTTCATTACAGAATTCTTCATTGCAAGACAGAATTAAGTCAAATTTGGCAAGATTTTATTTACAATTCATTTTTACCTACACATTATAAATTCGTTTTCATCTCAATGATCAGGGAAATCGGAAGACAATTTGAAGTCAAATGATCCTCAAAAAGTCCTCTAAATTCCAAATTTGCTTACAAGACTCAAAACGCTTTCAAAGACTTTCATATTAGCCAACAAGGCTTGAAACGATTCCAAAGTTTGCTTCTAGAGTAGACAACAACAGATTTAGCGTCAGAAAACAAAACTCAATGAAGGTGTAGAACCAAACAATTTTTTAACATCTAGTGATACCCTAATGTACCAATAGCCCTGGAATTGATTAAGGCTCGGGTTGGTTTTTCATCAGACATGGGATAACAAGACCGATGATAGTTTCTCATTCTTTGTGGCAATGTTCTCTCATCCCGACAAATATTAAATATTACTGTATTTAGGATTAGGATCATGGGTAAAGCCCCCCCCCCCCCCCAAAAAAAAAAAAATAAAAAAAATTCTTTTCATAACTGGTATGAAGGCTTGTTTTCAAATCAATTCAGCATTTGTACTAAGCCATCACATATAGCCAGGGGTGGATCCAGGATTTTCCAAAGAAATGGGGGGGGGGGGGGGGGGGGGGGGGGGGCATGAAATGCATGAAATTGCAAAATTTGTGTGAAGCAAATGTAATACCGTATGTAGAGTGATATCCTCTATTTGGAGTCCTGCCAAACATTTTCCCTAAAATTTACTGGAAATCATGGAGTGAAAACTAGAACAACTAGATGGAACTTCGACTGCGCGCAGTCGAAAATGATGCCTCCGTCATAGAGCAATTTTACAAACCAAAACAGAAGAAATTTTTCAAATTCAAGTTCAATTGTAATCCATTAAGAGGTTCTCAGAATATCGTGATTACAAGCAATTTCTCATATACATATATGACCCTTTGATCTTTGACCTGATGACCCTAAAATCTACTCAGTTCATTGGCTCTGCAAGATGTCCTGAGTTAAATAGTAATCCATCTGTCAGTTCTAATGAGAATGCGTTCACAAGTTATTTTTGGATACATAATGAGCCCATGACCTTTGACCTCATGACCCATGAATCTACTCAGTTCATTGGCTCTGCAAGATACATACATGATCGAAATTTGGCAGGAATCCATCAATCTGTTCTAATGAGAATGCGATCACAAGCTATTTTTGCATACATAATGAGCCCTGTGACCTTTGACCTTTGACCTCGTGACCCCAAAATCTATTCAGTTCATCGGCTCTGCAAGATACATACATGACCAAAGTTTGGCAGGAATCCATCGATCGGTTCTTGAGATAATGCGATCACGAGCTCTTTTTGCATACCTAATGAGCCCTGTGACCTGTGACCTTTGACCTTGTGACCCCAAAATCTAATCAGTTCATCGGCTCTGCAAGATACATACAAGACCAAAGTTTGGCAGGAATCCATCAATCGGTTCTTCAGATAACGCGATCACGAGCTGTTTTTGCATACATAATGAGCCCTGTGACCTTTGACCTTTGACCTCGTGACCCCAAAATCTAATCAGTTCATCGGCTCTGCAAGTAACATACATGACCAAAGTTTGGCAGGAATCCATCAATCGGTTCTTCAGATAACGCGATCACGAGAACGGGACGTACGGACGGACGGACGGACGTACGGACGTACGGACGTACGGACGGACGGACGGACAACCCGAAAACATAATGCCTCCGGCTACTTCGTAACGGAGGCATAAAAATTAGGCACTCTACATAGAACAGCATGAGACTATTCCAATATCCTTTAACTACCAGAACTAGCCATTAATTTTAAAGCCCCACTGCACTACTTATAGCTACTTGCGCCCTCTATATAGCAAACAATGCCTAATCGATGACCATTGGTCCCCCACTGTCCTCCACGGTCCCGTTTTTCTTATGTTAATTGAGAGCTGATTTGATGAGATAACCACCTGTTGGTGACTTTGCAGGGAGGTCTAATCCCCCTTGGCCAAACTAGTGCAGATAGGCTTTAAGGTTACTACTATGAGGATAAATCATGATTGTGAACATGATGTCTTCAGAAGTTAGAAGAATCGCATGTGACGTGCACTTGAAAGCTTGATCATTCGTTCAGTCACAGGCTGCAAAGAAAAATGGAAAGAAAGTATCTAGATAATACAAATAACTAAAGAGATGATTGGTATGAACTACAAAATCGAAAATGAGAAAACAGACATTCTGAAGCTTTACTTTTGCCCTCATCAGAGTAAATCGCAAGACTGAACCGAAAGCCGTAATCAAACAATATGAATGAAAGCTAAAGGAACAATGAACACAAAAAATTAACGGGCTGTGATTGCCCGGCAGAAAGTAGACATAAAGCCAGAATTGATGAACGAATCTTACCACTTCTGATGCGGTGCTGTTACATGATGATGGCAATTTGAACCAGTGATCTGGATCAGTTATCTTGTTGGAGAAATTCATGTAGTTGCCAGAGTTGACAAATGTTGCTAAAAGAAAAAGAGAGCCACAAAAAAAGCTTAGTGATCAGGCCTGACAAATGTGTGATGTGCACATTGCTTTAATTCATAGACTATTAGCAGGGCTCCACACTAACTTAGTTTTAATAGGGGGTCCGAATTGTAACACTTTACAATCTGTATAAATGAGCCATAAAGTAAAACTTCAAAATCTTGGAGGACTGACCTTAGATTTTGGGCGCCCATGCCCATCTATCCTGGGCTCCTGTTAGTGTCGAGCCTTGCAATATAAACTGCCCAGTTTTTATTCATGTTTACAAATACATGATTGAACCTTACAAAATAATGCAAATATATTTTTTCTTCTTCAAATTTCATCAAGAAATCACCATTAAAGACACTCAGTGGTTAGCTCTCATGGGGAATTCAACACAGTTTGGGTATTTACCAAATAAGAGGTGCTGTCAATCACCAGGATTAGCCTTCAGTTTCATGATCAGCAGGCCTTATGTAAGGTACTGCGGTTTCTGACCATTCCCCCACATGGTAAAGCCATTATCTCCCTTTTCCCTCACCCAGTCACCCAAAGACTCTCTCCGAGAGATGAGGGGGTACTTTTTCGATTGGCCTACGGGTTCGCTGTGTGCAGACCTAGTACCTGCACACACGTTAAGGATTTGTATCAACCAAGTCTGGTGTCAGCGAATTATGGCCTTCTGCACATGGAAACTGACGAGTGACTCCCATTAATACATGTGCCCTTGTTCTTCTCTAAGATGAGGTTTGGGCCAGCCATGATGTTGGAAAGGAGATGGAAACTCACATTACTAAAGTTACATGAGACCGGGGACAATTGGACACGATATCAATATTGTCAAAGCTGCACATGGTATATATTTTTCAGCAGTATGAGACATTATCAGGTGATCAACATTACTGAGGCATTTCTACACAATTCTGAGATGAGTCCCCCCCCCCCCCCCCCCCCATATTCTAGGAGTACAGTATAAGATCTGGAGCTGACACTCACAGGGTGGGTTCTATTACTCTAGCACTTACTTGGTGGCTGTGTGTTGGACTCGGTCCCGATGAACGTGCTACTGAATGGTGTGCACATGTAGTCTGCGACAGTGTAGCGCTGCGTACCCTTGATCGGGCCAGGAGCGGTGGCATTGATGAGCCATGTATGGACCTTTAACTTCTCCAGTCCGACATCGAATGTCCCCTCGAAAATTGCATCCTCTAGTGAGTGTTAGAAGAGTGAAGGGAAAAGGAAGAGGTGGATAAAATTAGTTCAGGCAAATGACTTACATAAACAATTCAAAAAGCTTTAAAAATTATTAAGCAAAAGACTCAATTTGATCCTATTTCACCTAAATGAAGACTACCTGTCTTCATATAATCCCAAGCAATGAACATGAGGTTTCATAAATGTATTGAACCCTATAAAACATCAATTGCCCAGTATTATGTACAAGTATTGATAACATATTTTTTATAGTTCATTTGAGTATAAAAAAACCCAATTAAAAGTGTATTTAATGGGGAATTTGAAGTCCCAAATTATACACGAAATGCATAATAACATTTATATGTGCGGTGGCCATCTTAGTAAAATATCAAATAACATGGAACCCCCTTATCATTTTCAACAATAAGTCTGGATCAGAAACTAGGAATCAACTTTTATTCACATTGTGTTATTAGTTAAAGATAAACTCCAGTTTTGGTAAAAAAAAAGAAAATTTATTCTCACAGAATCAAACGAAACTTACACTGAATGTTCAAGATTACAAATAAATGACATGTGCCAAACAATTTTGGAAGAAAATGTGTACTGGCTGAGTAATGAGCATAGAAAGACAAGGAAATCAAGGTAGTACTAGTCTAGCCCCGACACCATGTGTGTTGTCCCATATATAGCTTTCTGTGTACAGTGCTTGTTACTTTACCAAGACTCGGTCAAATTTATTATGATTTTGATGACTCCAGAACCTTGCAGTGCACACCAATACATGCTACATGATCAACTGTTTCTGATCCTTTCCACAACTTTTCTTTCACAATGCAATCGCATTACCAGTACTAAAGTTTATCTTTAAGGTAATATTTTATGACGTTATATTTTATCCTATAAAAATCTTAATTTTGTTGGCTGTTTTCAATTTAGAATCTTCATGTATTGCTATACCGGTAATTTCTTGACTGATGTAATTAAGTAACTGTTACTATTACAAATGTTGTATAATATGTAACTTTGATCCTTTGCTATTTGTTAAGCACATAGAGATTGCAAAATAAAATGCGCTATATAAGCCTGACATCATTATCATTATCTATTAGTAATTCTGTTACCTGGTACACATCTTGCGGGTGGGGTAACAGCAGCCAAAGATTGCTTGATACAAGTCGCTCCTTGTATGATCCATTGGTAACCCTGCAAGATATTTATAAATACTTCAGCTTTCAATTTGGCTGTTGGTCTTCAATGAAAAGTAGGTAAATAGCATGCCATTTCTGATTTTCATTTATTCAATTATCTTTCTTCTTTTTTTTTGGGGGGGGGGGGGGGTGAATGAAAAGCAGTTATTTTGATTTCAATGCTTGTTTTCCTTTGAAGTTCCTGGAAACAAACAGCATTTGGATATTAAACAAAAATATTAGTATACTGTGTAGTCTGTACAGATACTGCTTGTGATGGAATACGGACTCAAAGGATTTATGTGACTTCTAGTTTAATCACGTTGTTGCAATTCAATGATGAAACAAAGGAGACAAGCCCTAAAACGAGACTAACAATCATGAACTTATCATGTTATCTCTAAAATGATATTCATCCGCACAATAAATCGTGCGTGAAGAGGTTCTCATAACTAAGATACCTTCACACGTACCTACGCAAGTAAACATAGTTTGGTCTTAACTTATTCAAAGTCTACCCATGCTCATAACTAAGTTAAATTCACATATCATGATCCTGACAACCATCAATTTTAAACTACTTTATCTTTTCACAAAGGAAAAGGTCTTCAAAAGACCGTCTAAACTATCGATCAAACTTTCAACGAATCCATGTTCGCGATTCGTTTCACGTCACTACACATAGACTATTCATATAGATCTAGGCTATCGCTTCCATAGTGCAACTGTAATCTATAACTTGCAACTACTTTCAGTGGCATTTTACAGCACTGTATTTTAAGAAATATAACTCAATGAATAAACATACCTTAAGGATTATCTAAAGAGTTCCCATCTCAACATAGAAATGCTAGAACTGCAAGCAAACTGCTAAACTGTTAGCGACTGTCGTCGCTGTTGGCGAACTGATAACAACTCTCGTCTTCCCCTTCTTCTCCGAACTATTTCTTCTAGTCTCGTCACAAGTCTTAAACATAACTTTCAGAACAAGAAAAGGGTCATTCCATGACACTGCTGTTCTTTCTACTTATGCAAGCGATCTTTTATTTAGGACCTTAATAAAAAAAATTGATGGTATCAATACTCCTAACCACAAAATCTAGATCCGTCTCTTCCTCATGTACACACGAGACATTAATCGGTCCAGCTTCCTTACCAGTATCTGCAGTAAACACTTAATATCCCAAAGTATTCACTTCACTCCATTAGGAGTGTTGAGTATTTAGATTTAGATTCCAAAGATCAACCTGGGCCCAAGGGGCAATTGAAGAAGAAGAAGAATTGGGGGAGGGGGCTGGCTTTCGGGGACTTGTGGGTTCTGGCATTATTTTTGTTTATACACGTGCATTGTTAAAATTCATTTATCATAAAAATGGAGGGGGGAGTAGGTCCAGGCTTGAAGAATTTTATTTTTAAATCTTTTTTTTTTTTGGGGGGGGGGGGGGGAGGGGGACCCTAAGCCCTCCTTTAGAAGTGCTACTGCCTAGGCCCTGTCATATAAAGAATTGCGGTTGATCCAGATTGTTTGCATATATCCTCCAATCAGTCGCGAACTTACAAACTCCTATATATCTTTTTCAGTACAGAGTTGTGATTGTTATCAGTTTGCAGTCGATTTGAATTAGAGTATCAAGAGTGGTTTTCTACTCACCGCAGTGAAGTTCTGTACGAGCCTCGCTTTGGTTTCAGGTTGATTAAGCGGACGGATGGTGAGGTCCATGCCTACCAAGGCATTCACAAAATCATAAGCAGCATCTAATGTTTCCTCTGTGATAGCCATTGGCATATCCGCAGTTTGTGTGGCTAAAACTTGCTCTGTACATGAGAAAGAAATCGCAATGTTTGGAAATGTACCCAAGCTCATTTATATCAAGAAATGCACTCCTCCCCATCATGGAGTAGTTAGAACAAGGGTACATGACAGAAAGCAATGGAGGTGCATAGCCGCCAACCCCTTCCGAGGGGACGGCACTAGATGATGATGATGACGTTGAAAGAAACATACCAGTAAACAAATTTGGAGCAAAATAATACTGTTCATATTGTGTTTGTATGCTTACAGCTTGCTCTATCTAACCATGCTATTTAAACCCTTTGAATGCTGTTATCGCATTTATTAATGCAGCATAATGCGTTAATGAGAAAACATATTGTTGAAAGGGTTAAAATAAATAATGTCCCTATATACATGTAACATGCATTTACATCACACGCAGTGAAAGTAACGGTAGAGTGATTACGATTTAGACAATTTCCTGATCTTATATTCAATCCAATTCAACTAAATGTAATGAAAACAAACAAAATTCACAGTTCATGTATGAAGCAACTAACAAAGAAAAAGAGAGAAAATGATGATATTTTGTATGGTACACAACTACACATGTATAATAAATTTTGAAAATTGTTTGTATTGTATGCCAAAACAAAATATAAAAGGGCAGTTCCAATATAATGCTTCATACCATACAAAATAAAATAAAATATAATAATTTTTCTTGATAAATTCTTATCAAGTAAATAAAATGCATATTCTTTATTCACTTTTAAAGAAAAATTTAAAAAACAAAATATTAGAGGCAAGGTCATATGGAGCATTGCTTCAATAACAAAATAAGAAAAGACTGAAGTAGGATAAAAATCTGGCAAATCAGCGACACATCACGTATGTAGTTTGAGGACACCCGAATGACATGTGTTAATTTTCAATGAAACATTTCAATGGGATGTCAATGAAATTACAACTTACCGGTATCCTTTTCAAAATTAATTTTTAAATTAATATTTTTTGCAATGGGCCTTTGGTTTAATTATCCTTTATCAAAACTAAATATTTACCATAATGAAGAACAAACTGCGGTGGAGCACAGCAAGGAATTGGCTGTTGTGCTGACACCATCATCACAATGCAGGTAAGCAGGGAAATAATCGCTGAAGTTTTCATCTTGCCGTTATAATCGTTAGGCTGTAAACAAGGCAAAAATGTTTAAAAGGAAAGGTGACAAAGTCTACAATTAGTCAATATCTGATTAAAATACATCAATTATATTGAGAACATTTGGATCATTTTGAGATGGATTTGCTGGCATTCCTATGCACACTGGATCAGAATATGGGCAAATTAATTCTCAAGAGTACGGACTATGGTATTATTATTTTTTTTTTTTAAACGAGAATTTATAGGCCTACAAGACATCGCAATAGAATATATATATTTTAAAAAACAGGCAGCTTCTAGGTCAAGAAATACAGTAAGTTGTGACTTAAAATTACTAAAATTCTCAATGTGCATACTAATGCTAGCAAAAACAGAAGGAAATATCCTCTTTTTATATTGACTGATTTAGTGATGATCGATGGAAGTGCAGTGTTTGCATTGCAATGCAACATTCATGAACATGCAACATCAACACTCACACTTCACAGCTAGCCAATCTAAAAAGAGGAAATTTTCTTCTGGTCTTTAGCCTAAACTAGGTCTGATGCCGATGGTTTGACAAAATATACAATCTTAGCTCGTGCAGTATGCAAATACCGACAGCTTTTTCAACAAAGATTGCAATTGTAATATTTTGAAAGAAACTGGTCGGCCACCCGAACCCGCAGAGCCTGCCGAAATTAGGCGGGGAGTATACCGGGGAGGTGCGGAGTAAAGGCTAAGCCAGTGTTTGCTTGTAAGCTCGGCGCGGCTGCGGCCGCCTTGCCTGCGCCTGCATGCCTATTTTAGGCAGCCAAGGCAATCGGCAACAACATTATTGGCACAGATTAATGCTCTAATACACAAGTTAGTCTATAAAATCTTTCTATCCTAAATGAATCGTTATATCGTGCATTTGTAAACTTACAATTTCAGAACAGATCTATCGCTGCGGATGAAAAAAACAAACATTTACTGTGCTGAGCTGAGTGAACGGATCAAAACAAGTCACTTGATTTACACGAGTTATATATATCACGTGACAAACAAAGAGTCATGTGATCTGAACTTTGGTCCAATAAAATAGAAACGCCCACTTTTGCGGTGCAAGCTAGGGAAGCTAGTAGGGCCCCCTTACTCGAAACCAACAAAAAGTCTAGATTCCACACAGATGTCTCTGATTTACCTAAACTGTTTCACAAAGAGCTAGAACTAGACATCTCATGATGACATCGTTGATGACGATACTATCGGCGAGTAGAGGAGCCGAGACATAGGGGGCCGAGGGGAAGGGCGGGGGGTCACTCCAAATTTACATGACTAGCTACGCACCCTTGTCCAAAAAGGCGTCGAAATTAAGGGTGTCTGTTTTTAAAAGGTGTGATTTTGAAGCACTGATCACACAAAAACCATAAAAAGGGTGGGGTCACTCCAAATTTACATGACTAGCTACGCACCCTTGTCCAAAAAGGCGTCGAAATTAAGGGTGTCTTTTTTTAAAAGGGGTGATTTTTAAGCACTGATCTCACAAAAACCATAAGAAGGGTACCCATTTCAGGTTCATAGGTCTTGATACATACACCATTAGGGTCCATGGAGGTTCGTGGACACGGGACGGTAGCACTAGTGTATGAGAGTTACCTCCACACCCCGAAATGTAATCAAATCTAATGCACAAATCTTTGTTAAATGCCTCGTACATTTCATTAACCTATTACGAACAATTGTATTTCAATAGCGAGAATGCGAATTGCATAAATTACTTGTTGTTAGGAAGAACAAGCCATAATGTTTGTCCTATCTAGCAACGTTAATCCGCTATGTGACTTTTAAAGTGTCACCCCCCCCCCCCCCACCCCCTAAACGTTCAACGAAAGGATGGTGAAAATCAGTTATCGTGCTCTTATACAATATCTTTGTTGATGGTTATGGACTGAATGAATATATGAATTATTTGTCAGAATGAAAAATGTTGTGTTGATTTATTTTCAAGAAGTGATAATCAGCATGTAATTATCTATTTGAGAGTCTGCAACTACGTTCTGTGCTGGACGATAGATCATTGTGAAACAATCTTCCTCCGTATATCTTCGCTCTTCTGCTATCCAGTGGCGTAATGAGCAAAAACTTTAGGGGGCAGAAGAAAAAAACCCACGGAAATCATGTTATTTCAGCAACAGTTTTAAGTCAATGGTACCGAATTAGAAATAAATCACATTTAAATTTTAAGGGGGGTAACTGCCCCCTCCCCTCCAACAGTATTCCCCAATGCTTACAGCTAGTCACTAACCGTCTTTTGAACTTTTTCCAAGTGAATCATGAACAGATTCAGTAAATGTTCAATCTAATCATCACCTTTGATAAGGCAGCTAGATAATTATTGGCGCTCTACAAACTCCCAGAATAGATTGAATATGGATGAAACTAACAATACCAAAACGTGTTACGTAGCATAGCGAGCAATCATTTTATTTGTCAATTTAATTCCCCCTCCCCCTAAATTAAAAACAGGTTCTAGTGCTGAATGAAAGCTCAATTAAAAATAAATGATTCGCAGAAAACTATTAATATTCACTTTGGTTGAAATGATCGCAGGATAAAAATTGGGGTTGGGCAGGCGCGGATCCAGGGGGGGGGCCGAGCGGGCCTTGGCCCCCCCCCCCCCCGCAAAAAAAAAAAAAAAAAAAAAAAAGAGAGAAAAAGGAAAAGAAGGGAAAGGGAAAGGGGAGAGAAAGGGAAAGAAAGAAGAGGAAGAAGAAAAGAAAAGGGGGAAGAAGGAGATCGGGGGGCCGAAAGGGCCTTGCCTCCAAAGCTGTTGACCCCCCCCCCCCCAATCAAAAAAATAAGAGAGAAGGAAGGAAAGGGAAAGAAAAAAGGAAAAGAGGATATACTGGCGTACTGATACTGATTGCTCATCTGACCGTGATTAAATGCCTAAAACCCCAAAGCTTTCGGGGGCTCTGCCCCCTGGATTCCACGTAGGGCCCTACGGCGGGCCCTTAGATGCTCATCTGACGGTAATTTAATGCCTAAAACCCCTCTTTTGGAGGGCTCCGTCCCCTGGACCCTACGCCAAATAGTGACCTTCCAGTGTCACAAAATAATAGGTATTTAAAAAAATATGCTCATCTGACCTTAATTAAACGCCTAAAACCCCTAAGTTTCCGGGGCCGGCTCCGCCGCCTCGACCCCACCAGGGGCCCTAAGGCGGGCCCCTGAATGCTTATCTGACCGCGGTCCCCCCAAATCGGAAGAGGACGTAGGAAGAAAAAGTAGCAGACAAAGAACATCTTTGAAATTCAGACAAGGATTAAGAGTATAGAGAACGGTACAGCGAATCGTCTTCTTTCTCTCATAATCTTATGAAACGTCAAAGCTTCCGCGCTTTGCGCGGGAGGGGGAACCTGAATTCAGAGGCGAGAACGGTAATACGAATCTTTAATGATTTAATGAAACGTAAAAGCTTCCGCGCTTCGCGCGGGATGGGGAAAAACTAAATTCCGACGACGATTATTTTCGAGAACGGTACAACGAATCGTCTTCTTTCTCGAATAATTTAATAAATCGTAAAATTTTCCGCGCTTCGCGCGGGAGGGGAAAAACTAAATTCAGACGAAGATTAATAGTCGAGAACGGTACAACGAATCGTCTTCTTTCTTTAATAGTTTAATGAAACGTCAAAGCTTCCGCGCTTTGCGCAGGAGGGGGAGGGGGGCTGAATTTAGACAAGGATTAAGTGTCAAGAACTCTACAACGAATCGTCTTCTTTCTCTAATAATTTAATAAATCGTAAAAATTTTCGCGCTTCGCGCGGGAGGGGAAAAACTAAATCCAGACGAATATTTAGAGTCGAGAACGGTACAACGCGTTTCGCGTTTGTACCGACCCCCCCCCCCCCCCCCCCATTACGTCACTGTTGGTCACATTACGTACCAATATTTGGCTCGCATAATTTGAAATTTGGGCCCCCCCCCCCCCCCCTAAGAAATCCTGGATCCGCGCCTGGGGTTGGGTGTGGGAATTTGTGATTTATAGCCAACCATAGAAACTTGCTCTTATGTGATTTTCTCTTATAATATTTGATATAAACAAAAATGAAGGAGGAACTGATTTTGGAGGAGAGTAATTTTTTGCCAATATTCATAAACTTGCTGAAAAGCACCCCCCCCCCCCCCTCCCCTTATTCTAGTCTTCGGGATGTATTGGTGTGTTTCCCTTCTAAAAACTTCTGACAAACAAAACCATTATTTTTCCTTCAATTGTATTCAAAACTTTATTTCCAATTTATTTAAAAAAGTAACAATGATACTATTATACATGATTATACATAATAACAAAAACGAAATTCAGAAATAGAAACAAATCTTTAAAACAGAGTAAGTCTAACTACAATAATTGTATATACAAAACCAAGTAGATTACCTAATGTCAGGTACAAACGTAACAAGTGCACAACTAAAATTTAAAGAAATTTAAAAAAAATGAAATTTAAAAAAAGGCTTGAAAAATGCAGATAATAACAATACGGTGTAAAGGGGGAGGGCCGGAGGGGTGGCACATTTTGAGACGTGTGTTCTAAAGGTATGCCACTTTAGTTTCAAAGGGGGTGCATGGGCCGCTTGTATTTCCCTTTACGCCCATCACCTCCCTCTGCATGGTGCTTTCGTTGGACAAGTGTCAAGCAATTATTAATGACCCTCGATCTAGTGAAACTCTTGCTCCCCTCCCCATTGTTTATGTTTCTGTTTCTGTTTCTGTTTCGGTTGCGTCGGTATACTCAGGGTTAACTGTACTTCACCAACGTTTTGATTTGTATGGTCTCATAATGCTAAGGCTTATTGAATAAAAGTAAAATACAATTATTGAATGCCACCCATATAACAGAAATATCCCTCACCCATATCTTTCTCTCTCTCTCTCTCTCTCTCTCTCTCTCTCTCTCTCTCTCTCTCATTCTTCCTTGCCCTTCTCTCATCCCCTTTCTCTATTTACATTTTCATTCCATCATCGCAGTTGTACCGTCTAAGCTGTCTTTTGTGCTAAACACCTGATGATTGGGGTTGTACTGTTTTTTGTTGTCCTCGAGTTTTAGAGGGTTAAAGAAACTTATAATGTTTTGGTTTTCACAATTTAGGGATGAAAATATCTACAAAATGTTTAATTTGTCTCAACTCAGTTGCTATGCTGCCCTCTTGTGTTTCATAGGCGGTTAATTTAAAAGTACGACAAGAGTCAAGATCAAGGGAGCAATGTCTCGGAAAAGAAAGTCTTTTAGCAATATTTTAACTTCACCTGAAGACAGGGAGGATCAAGAAAACAAAAGGTATGCGGAGGTTTCAGTTTACTTCATTATGTATACTTCTTACCCTTTTAAAATGTGATTTATTTAGGAGCAATTTATTAGGTTATCCCACACGTTTACATCTATGTAGGAAAATAACGCACTCGGGCAAAACGGACTGGAGTGGGTGGCACTTTTTGCCGTGCAGCCGCGCCATCATAGACACGGGGGTACTATCTAGTCTGATTCGTCAGATCCCGATGCTGCCGGGCCGTGCGGAGCGAGCAAAGCGGCATTAATGGGGTAGACTTGTGTGGATGAGAAAGAAAAAGTCTGAGATGAATGAAGAATAGGAGAAATAACGGAGAATGGGCATTTTCATTTATTTTATGATCAAGTGGATCTGGGGCCCGTTCCTAGAAACCGTCATAGGTCTAACTTCTTGACTATCACATTGAAACGTGTGTTATAGAATTAACACGCGTTTCAATGGGATAGTCAAGAAGTTAGACTTATGACGGTTTCTAGGAACGGGCCCCAAGGGATAGTCTAGAGACTAGACTGAAAATTTCTGTCTCTTTTGTTCGTTAGCCTCTTATTTGGAATTGGGTAGGGTCGGCTCCTCCCTTTAGACAGAGAAGCCGACCGTAGGATCTCCTGTGCAAATGTTGTCCAAAGAGAGGAGCCGACCCTAGTCACCCTACCCAATGAAGAGGCTAACCAACGAAAGAGACAGAAATTTTTGGTCTAGGTTTAGTCATATTTGTAAATATTTAATAATTGATGTCGATAGATAGATAGATAATATTGTTGTATAGTTCATTTTGTTGTTGTTGGTTTTTTGTGATGACTGATGTGTCTAACTATGTATTCATGGTAATCGTCTCCTTACTCGGCTCAGCTCAGCCTCGGGCTCTATCGTGCTGTCACATCTGTTTTCTCTTAACTTAATACCTCTGTCATTAGCTTGGTGATCTGCTGCTACTTTTATTTGGAATGCCGGCGGTGGCTCAAAGTTGGCATTGGTTAAAGCATGTGTTGCAGTAAATATCAGAAGATCTATGATATTTTCATTTCCCCCAGATATTTCTTGGACCCAGAGGCTGTGAGTCGCCATCTGTTTTGCTCCATCTGTCAAGAAGTATTCACAGAGCCTCAGAGAGCCCCCTGTGGTCATAGCTTTTGTAAAGAGGTGGGTTTAAATTGTAAAAGCTTTGAAATCAACAGATCATTGTATGATGATACATGAATTTTCATCAGTTTTGAAGATGATGTATCAAAACATTGGTTTTTGAAACAGGCAGGTAGATATATTGAACTATTAAACGGAAATGTAATTTTTATTTTATGTAAGGTTAAATTAAAGAAGTGTAGGCAAACTGCATGTAGTAATTTGTAGTTGATACAAACCTATGAATTTTAACCTTAAATAGCTTACAGACGGTTGAGGTGGGTGCCAGGTCGTAAACCATACAGATTTTGTTTGTTTGTTTATTAGATTAAAAGAAGAAATTTTCTTGACAATAGGTAGATGTATATTGTACAAAGATAAAGGAGCAGAACAAAAACAAACAGTACCAGCATATAGGACCATTTTAAAGATAAACTCCAGTACTGGTAAAAAAAAATTAATTAATTCTCACAGAATCAAACGAAACTTACACTGAATGTTCAAGATTACAAATAAATGACATGTGCCAAACAATTTTGGAAGAAAATGTATACTGGCTGAGTAATGAGCATAGAAAGACAAGGAAATCAAGGTAGTACTAGCCCCGACACCATGTGTGTTGTCCCATATGTAGCTTTCTATGTGAGTGCTTGTTACTTTACCAAGACTCGGTCAAATTTATTATGATTTTGATGACTCCAGAACCTTGCAGTGCACACCAATACTTACATGCTACATGATCAACTGTTTCTGATCCTTTCACACCTTTTCTTTCACAATGCAATTGCATTACCAGTACTAAAGTTTATCTTTAAGTGTTGTAAGATTTGAGATCACCAAATGGTGTCAGTTGATTAATAAATACTTATTCTTTACAGTCACTTCAGGTTTTTTATTTTCTCTGTTTCAGTGTATATACACATGGCTGAAACACAAGAAGAACTGCCCAGAAGACAGGTAAAGGCCCTTGTAACACACACATTGGCTTGATATGCAATGTATATATCATACAAATCTAATGCTTCTCCAATCTTGATGTAATTATTTTTTTTTATCATGCATTGTTTGTATCTATCTATAACATGAAATTACCATTTTACTGTAAAGTCATGATTGATTGAAGGAGATGGGGGGTGTTTCACAAGGTCCTAAGTTGAACTTACCGGTATCTCTATGTTGGACTGAACAATTATGGAAAGCTGTTAGCATCTTTGATTTTTTTTGTAAAAGTTATTTTAAAGGCATAAATATCCCTATTTTCTAGGAGATTTCATGTTCTTGATGTGGAATTTATGAAAATTCTAAATTACTTGAATTTTTGCTTTTGAATATATTTTATAGTAAAGTTTGACTTGGGACCTTTGTGAAACACCCCCATGAAGTCAAATATGATAGTGGATTCTTTTTCCAGTAGAGAATGTCATATCACAGTCATTGATCTGTAATGTTTATCCATACGTATCAAAGAACCCCAGAACAACCAGAATTATTAGAAACTGAGGGGGGGGGGGTATCATTACCCTCCCCCTTACACACACACAACCTTCAAAAACACAAACCTTCACAAATACAAATTGCACATAAGTTTGCAAACAGAGAGGAAATAAGCAAGAAAAAGGGAGAACCATGAAGATTTCAAATTTTAATATTTAACAAAAACAGGGATAACTAATTTTAAAGAGTGAAAGTCCTAATGTAAAAGTTTTAGAAATGGCAGCTACACATTTTTTGACCGACAGAAATTAAATGGGGGATATCGCTCCAAGCTTTGCTCCACACCTCATTGTAACAACAGGCCTGTTAGAGGTTAATCCATACATCTGTGGATTAACTTGTTTTTAAATCTCAAATCATTTGTAATCCTGTTTTTCTTGCAGGCGTCCCTTGAGACGTTCAGACTTACATTATGACTTCATCATCGCTAACGTGATCGGTGATCACACGGTGGCTTGCCCTTTTCGTCGGAAGGGATGCGAGTATGTAGGCAAGCTGGATACGATCTCGCTGCATCGCAAGTCTTGCGCTTTCAACCCCGGTAACCTCCCGTCTTTTCTTCACAAGGAGAAGAATATCCTAAGTGAAACACAGCCAACTACTCCCGGTATGTCTGTTCTCATCGGCTCTCGCTCCCTCAATTAATATGAAAATAATTCTGCAAATGTGCAAATGCTTGTTTTAAGGGACTTGGTAACATTGTTCAGATGAGAAAAAATGATGCTAAGGTAGTGATTTCACGGCTAGATGTACACTTAAAAATTATCTGAAAGTTTGAGTGAAAATAGACCATTTATAATGATCTAATAAAATAGGAAAAAACTGATCTGATTGATTCTTTTATTCCACCAACTATATTATTTCAGTTTGATTACATTTAAGGGGAATGTAAAATCGCCACAAAGCAATGAATTGGCTCTATTATATATACCTTTCCAGACATTTAAGTGTTGAATGATTTTTAAAAGCCTGTCTTATATTCATAGAAAAATGGTTGTGAAAATTCAAAAATGTTTTGGAGAATTAACTGTTAGAGGGTGTCGCACAGTGACGCCTTCAAAGAAAACCATAAATATCTTTGTGGTTTGAGAATTTGTTCATGATTTTGTACAAGTTAGAGGGTTAGTACAGTATAGAGGGAATATAATAAGTAACATTTCATACAAAAATTACGCAGTTTTTTTCATCAATCTTCGACAATGTTCCTGAGTCACTTTAAACTTAAAGGTACTGGTCAATTCCATTGCAAGGAGTTATACATGAATGACATGACCATGCAAAAGACGTCATCATTAGTGGCTTGTGAACCAGAAACCAGATTTGAATAAAAATGAAGAATTTTTAAATTTACCCCAAATGTTACAATTCTTGTCAGCTCTTTGGGAAAAACCGCTCTCATTCTCTTTGTGATAACCTCAAGGAACCCTTTATATGGTATAGAGTGCTACAATTCTCTCTTTTTGTTATTTACAGAAGTAGAAAGTAGCGGACCTCCATCTGCAGAGAATGTCCTGTCACCTCTGGTACCAGATGATGACAAGTTACCTACGCCTGCAAAACCGTCGCTTAAGATGAGACTCTTCGTCAAAGGTGGTGGTCAGCGAGATCTCCTCTGCTCTATGTTTGATGACGGTACTAAACAATCATCATCAACATCGCCCTCCTCCTCAATGTCATCGTCATCGTCATCATCATCATCAGTGGCAGCTAAAGCGACAAAATCAAGAACCAGACGGAAAGCCGAACATGATGTAGTCATAATCCTTGATTCTCCTTGAACACAGGTCCGTCAGTAATTGATTGAATTTATTTTGAGTGATGAATTATTTAGATAATTGATGGGTTATCATTCCGTGGGGTTGAGGAAATTTTTTTTGGGGAGAGACTTTGTCTCCTATCGACCATAACAATGTTTGCTCAAATTTAGTTTAGCTTAAAAAGCATAGCACTGAATCCAAAGACCGGGTTAATAGTAATTTGTAAAGCGCTTAGAGACATTTGTATTAAGCGCTATATAAAAATTAAATATTATTATTATTATTATTATTATTGTAGACCCAAGTTTATTAAATGTTAATATATAAATGTGATGCCCATGTAGTGCGGGTAAAAAAGGAATGCATGTTAAGCAAATATTTTGAAGAGAAGCAAGTGATACAGGAATTATTCTGGCAGGGCACTGTATATAAATTTTAATTGCATACAAATCTGCAACGGATGATTTCATCTTATATGTGTAGTAGAAGATCTCATACCAACTTTACATGGACGTTGTCATATTTTGTGCCCTAACCTCATGGAGGTTGTAAAGAATGTATATGGTTAACATTGCCTATTGTATATACACTGTACACTGTTGCTCATAAAGTTGGAATATTTTTGTTTTACCCCAATTTATGGAATTATTTTAAAAATAATTTTAAAATAATAGATCTAGTATACATAATGTAAAATAAAAAACAACAAAGGAAATGCAATAAATTTTCAATAATTTATTGCAGTTTACCCCGGTTCCCAACTTTAAAAAATCCTCTGTGTGCCCATGCCTTGAACCATAATGCATGGCCGTCCAGAGGATTTGTTTATGTTGGGGACCGGGGTAAAATGCAATAAATTATTGAAAATTCATTGCATTTTCTTTTTTTTTTTAAATTTATGGAAACTGCTCCCTACCCTAGCCCCCGCTGCGTACAGTTATGGTTCACTGACAAAGCAATGGCCTCATAACTGTGAGGTCCATGGATCAAAACCGTGTGTCGATGTGCTATATTAGTGCCCTTTTGTGGGGGCATTAATCCTCATTACTGTCATTAAAATAGTTCCATAAATTGGGGTAAAACAAAAATATTCCAACTATATGAGCGACAGTGTATATATAATGTCTTTAAAGTGTAGATATTATCATTTTTAAAGCACTACCGTTATAGATGTAAAACTAGATTCTTCTTCTTATTATTATAATTATACATATATACTTAACATATTGTCATATCATAATACCGTCATATCATTATACTAGAAAAAAAAATCAACTAGTCAAGACGTTACTTCTCCATGTAGGTATACTGATTATATAGGAAGTTTTTGATACAACATGAGTGTGCCAAAAAGGTTCAGCAAATCAGGAATGGAATTATTGATTCATAATCAGTTACATCAACCCTAGTCATCTACAGAGACTGTAGATCTGTGACAGAAAAATATAGCATTAATTTTAATGAATTTGCACAGATGCAATGTCAGTTATAGAAAACACCACTTCCCGTCGAATAAACATACATATTATGGTACCTAACCCCCCTTCAATTCCATTAAATTAAGCAATAATGACAATGTTAACTAACACTGTGAAAAGAATATATTTGATAATTTTGCAAGGCAGTGGAAAGTTAGGATTTATACAGAAGGTTGAACCTTTGAAGTTTTAAAGTGCTTTTTATTTATTTCATCCTGTGTTGGTAGTGATCCTAACAAAAATATGCTAGGGACCGGAACAAAGCAACAAACATTTAGAAATGTGGACAAATGTTGAAACCTTTATGTAAATTGAAGAGGATATATCAAATTTTATGATCGATTTGTAAAATTGTACAATGAATATGTTATGTCATGAAAGCACATTTTGATAAATGGATAATGTTTTAAATTTTTTAAATTTGAACCACTATATTATTGTAAAGATGTCAATATAAAAATGATTGAATATTTTATACCAAATTAATAAATACTGCAGTGCAGTTATGGTCTTGCATGTTATGTCTGGGAATGAAATCATTTGCATTTGGGATTTTATATCCCCCTTTATTATTATTTTACAACTTTTGCCCCAAAACTGACGCGAATATAGGAATAGGAACTGCCACACAATAATGAACTATTTTCTGGGTACAATTTCTACCCTTGGCCCAGAAATATATGCTGTGTACCACAGAAAATGCAATAGCATAAAATCGGCTATAATCAAGGAATGGATTGCATGTAACCATGAGAACTGCCTGGCATATCCCCAGAACCAGTGGCGGATCCAGGGGGGGGGGGGGGGGCCGGGCCCCCCCCCCCCTTGAGAAAAAAATCATGTAAAATCACGTGATTTTTACCTTTTTGGGGGGTTGGGCCCCCCCCCCCCCCCTGGCGCTCAAGGGGGGGGGGGTGCAAATTGAAAAAATTTTGAGGATCAAAAAAAAAAAAAATGTGCTCACTACCCCCCCCCCCCCCCCCCCCCCCCCCCCCCCACTGAGCGACTTTTCGGCCGGCGCGATTTTCTAATTTTCGGGAAAAAGTTGGGCCCCCTCCCCTAAGAAATCCTGGATCCGCGCCTGCCCAGAACAGTCCTTTTAGGGGCTTTCAGACATTTCAAGGACTCCCTTTCCGGCATAGTTGGGTAAAAAACATTTAAAAACAAAACATTTGACATATCTTTTTAATAGTCTGGAAGCTTGTCACGAAACAGTCTGCCCTTTTTCACCCACTAGATTAGACCATCTACGTTATTAACAAAAGTTTGTTCGACCTCAGCAGTCGGGTTTAGCAACCAGAGACGCCAATGTGAGATTGATTTCTGCCCATCTACCCACGCACCAAGAGTATGAAGTAATACGATCATACATTACATTAAAAACAACATACACACACGCACAGTCGCACACACACACACACACACAGACAGCAACTTTCGTCGGGATTGGGCTTTCAGATTCCACTTTTTTTTCCTCTTTTTTTTTTGTGGTGGAGCGGTGCCTTTGGTTTTTGCGGTTTATCTGTAAGTAAGCCAAAGGGATGGAGGAGGAGCACACATTTTCGTTTAATACTCGGATGTGATAAGCTGGATCGGATATTTGACAGGTTTAACTGTTTGAGATTCGTTGGAGAGAATCAGTATATGAGAAGCAGAGAGAGAGAGAGAGAGAAGTTAGGAGCAAGAAACAAAAGAGGAAGAGAGCGGGCGGTAGACCAGGCGGGATTGAAAAAGGACGGAGAGAGAGAAAGAGAGAAAGAAGAACATCCCTGAAAGTCTGAGAAAATAATTATGAGAAGATTGAGTTCCAGGAAAGGCGAAATGCGTGAGCTCTGCCACTATTTTTGTGATAGTATGGAAGAATTTCATATAAGACATCTCAGAAGAAAAGGACTGCTCTTCAAATATCCTCATATTCGAAATATGAAATTAATTAGATGAAGTGTTTGGACCAAATTTCATAGTACATTTTGTGCGTACAAAGCATGTGGCTTCCGGCAAGACTGACTCAATTTCATATAATTTTGGTGAATCGGAAGAGTTGATATTAATCGCAACTCATTTGTGGTTTATATCAAATACAGCTGTGTACATAAGAGAAAGAGGACTGCAAACTTGCGGTTGATTGGAGGGCTTGTATTGGATCAATCGCAAATCTTTATAAGACGGGGGCCCATGATTGATATAACGCAAGCTTATTATTGCTGTTAGCATATCGTATCGATATCATCGACATTTTAAAAGGAATTTATTTCAAAGGAATTCCAAGTCCGTGTCAACACCTAGTCACTAAATAAACAATGACACACATACAAACCTGATTCAGGCCATCCTTTGAAATGATTTTATAAGGACTTCTTGAAATCTAAACACATGTAGTATCGAAAATAGTACATCTAAATCTTTTTGGAGAAAGGAGAAGGTCTGAACTAGATACTCCGTCATAAAACTCAATCATCTTCCGACTTCGCCAATCAAACTAAAACAAACAACACCTGCATCGGGCAACTACAGTTTATTATTACTATACTTTATTCATTTTCGATTAAACGTGGACTAAAAATGTAAAAGAGAGAAAACAGAACATGTAATTTATCACTTTTCTCAGAAGATGGGGATCAATGCAGCGATAGATATATATGTATACACACACAAACTCACCCACATACACACACCCACACACGCGCGCGCGCACACACACATGTAGCACTAGTACTGGGAATTTGATCAGTAACAGCTAAGGTAATATGAAAATAGAATGATAATAACTTCCGCAAAAGTGCTCATGATATTCTATTTCCTGAAACAATATACATGCAATTTCCATGATACAAATATATTGTTTAATGATTCATGTATTAAATGTTTCTCATATACAAAACTATGTACTGATCCGATGATAAAGAGTCGTATACAAATAGTTTAAAGGCTTATCCCATCCTCTCCTTGATCGTCGTATGGATCCTTTATCAGAACCACAGCAATTTGGCTTTCGTTTCCATAGGTAGTTCTCGTAATTCGTCCAACTTTAATGCATACCCGTTTTGTCGCATGCCTAGACAAGAACTATTACATTCAACTGTTACAATTTCTGTATTACAATATTCAGAATACAGATTACAACGTGTTGCTCGGTTGGACAAACTCAAATGTTTATCCGCCTTAACAACGCAAAATGTATGTAATCGGCATTCTGAGAGAGACATATAAATTCAAATACTGTACGTTACGAAAATGGCATATTCGCAGGTGCGCAAAATTACTAAATAGCTTTGACTTAAGCATTTTATTTGACAAGTAAATCATCAAACCTTATAAAAATATAGATATACATTAAACCTTTACCCGCTACATAATAAAAGTGCATGAAATAGTATATTTCATTACTTCTTCAAACTATTTACATACAAGTACATTATGAGGACACTTGATTATCCATTTGAAAAAAGTGATATGGGGGACACCCTTTATTACCCAATCAGTAAATAAAAGTAAACAATTTTTTCTTTTCACAAGCTTTGAATTAATGATGCTTGTATTATCCCGGCAGAAAAATCAACATACTGTTTATCTTACTCGTGATACGTAAACTCAGACATATTATTTGAACGGAGTAGTTAGGCTAGTAAGAATTCACCTACAAGTAATGATTGCAATGCAAAACAAATGATCGAAGATTGTGCAAACTCTTAACTTTCTTTCCATAATTTTGAAGACAAAAAAGAAATTTCTAAAAACGCTATGGAACTTTAATTTATATATCTTCAAACTAAGGCAATATGTTTTTTACAATGACATCATACATACTTATTTACAACAAGCAAACATCACATGTTTAAATAGAATCAAATTTATATCTGTATTTACTTGAAAGCAGATTATAAATGCATTTCATGTAAATCATTAATTATCTTCATCTGATTAGTAGTAATCGCATCTATTTTCTTAGTTTTATCTTCTTCAACTTCTAGTCTGTATTTAACATAAACAAGAAAATGTCCCTATCATTTTCGTTGCTACATGTTTTATTAAATTTATTTACAACAGTTGCTTTATATATTTCAAATAAAGCATAATGAAGTAGTAAATTAATATTTGTAACATTTTCCTTTCCGTCATGAAAACTATATACAACATAAATGAGTGAGAATTTACCATTTCTACAAAAGGAGATACATAATAATATTTCAATAACATTCCATAATGGATAAATATTTTCGCATTAAAAAAAAATGTGGTACCAGTTTTGTTATGATAATAACACAAGTCGTTTCTTTATGTTCCCATTTGAATAAATTAACAGGTGTTGGTAAAGTATTATACATAAATTTAAAGTGAATTGAATCAAGTAGTTATCACGAACATATTTCAATTTAAATAACTACAGAGGACCAGAAATCTACCGCCTTAGATGATTTTTGAATTAATTTCATGAGTTCCGTACAGATTTGTTTCACAGTAATACAATGTATTGATAACCCAAAACTATTCAAGTTTAAATTAGAATATATCATTGATTTACGTTGGTAATCATTAAAATTATCAAACTTGTTTACCATATTATATAATTTGCCTTCATCTTTGTTGTATAACGATTCGTATTTTGGCATATTCACATGCATAACCACCCACCACGATCATACTAAATAATTGTATCTCAAATTCGTCGACTGTCAAAAATCTATTTCCTATCACCTTATCTACTAAAGATAATAACCCTGATTTTATCGAATATTTATACAACAATACTTTTCATTTATATTTGATAACACAATTTGATAATTATATTTCAAATCTTTCAGATTTGATAAAGTTACCTCAAATATAAATACCTTCCTATTCTAAGATAAAAACATCGGCTGAGAGGATGCCTAAATGTATACATTCACAACTATAACGAAAGCCATAATTTGCACAGTACTTTAGTGCCACGCCAAGGGACCCCATGCCATAGACCCTTTATTTCTAATCTTTTGACAGGGTAGCCCATTCACCAACAAGTAGTGGTCTTCCATGGGGCCCTGAATAAACAAGAACATATTTACATCGTTTATAACGTTTATACAGAGAAGTTAGACAAATTTAATAATACTCGTTTGCAAAATAAACATATTATGGGTGCCTTGGCGTGAACACGATAGTGTTAATAGTGAATTGATGTGGGCGTGTCTCCCAGACTTAAGTTACACCAGTGTAAACTGGTTTTATGACTAGACAGAATAGTGTCTAATTTGGGTAATAATGAGGTGATCGTAGCCCCTGATTGGTCAATACCCTGTGACCACGTGATCTGAGATTTGCGTTTCGAGTTTACCGTCCTCATCAGTGTTCCGGAGTGGATTGGAGGGGGTCATCCGGATAACTGCCCAGTGTTTTACTCCGTCTGTTAAGTTTGACATCGGCCATGTAGTTCGATGGTGGAACATCACAACTGGTAGAAAAATATAAAACGATGACTTTAATTTAGCTTGTTTTATTTTACATGAAGTATGCACATCCCATATTCATATGTGCATATACCGCATTCGTAAGCTGGGAAAATGTTTACTTTGTTATGATTCTTAATGTCATAATTTCTCGTAGGCCTATAGGTTAAACCTCTCTAAAAATAATCTTGCTTATCAAATTTTCGATGAAATGAAATCAATAAAGGTCAAGGTGTAGGTAAATCAAAAGACGGCTGGTTTAAAACATTAAACTATGCAACAGATCAGAATTCCACTCGTTACGAAGTGAGCCTATATATCTTCTTTAAAATTTAGATCTCCACTCTTAATTCTGCAGTAAGAAAGTGCATTTTGCAACTCTTAGATCGCCGGAGAGGAGAGAGAGAGAGAGAGAGAGAGAGAGAGAGAGAGAGAGAGAGAGAAAGAGAATGATAGGGAGGGGTGGGGTTAAGTACCTGCTAAGACGAGGTCCTGGACGACGTTTTTTGTCCTTCAGAGATCCCACATGAACTTCAGTAGACATACCACTAGACAAACTAGGTCTCAAGATTGGTCTCTCCTCCGGCCGTCTCTCCTCTGGTTTCGAATCTCTGCATACAAGGAAAAAAATACCGTGTATGATAATGTACACTATGCACCCCTGGTATATTTTGTTCGGTCTTATAATTATATCAAAATAGCTGTATACAAAGGAACAGAAAGCAACGTATGATAAGAATGATCTACATGTATGTAGACAATGCTATTACTGACAAATATAGGCCCCCATATCACAGTATAAAAAGGAACCTAATCCATTATGATCCACGTTACAGGGGCCACATTATAATGTATAGGCTTAGTATGTTTTGTTTGGTCTGCAATCGTCAGAAGGAGGCCGTTAGAGCTACGTATTTTCAATGGCAGTAACATCCTTCTTGCAATTAGACAAAGCAATGAATTTTATTTCAAAGTAGATAATAATGTTTGACATTGTTTGCTTGTTGTTTAACAGCAATTTTTCACGACCCTGAAGCCAGACGCTCGTATATGGCAATCCGTTCTAACATTTATTCCTATTTCTTGATAATCAAGAATTACCATTGCTTTACAACAGAAAATAATTTCTTGATATCAAGAAATAGGAATAAAATTAATATTCAAACGGCTTGCCATACGCTCGAACTACAGTGTACATTCTTTGTGAAGTAAATGTCATCGCATCTATACCTGCAGGCCATCAAATTCACGAGACCGGAGGTCTCCTTAATTAACATGATCGCAAAGACTTCTGTAAATTTAACCTGTGGCAATTTCAACATCAATCCCCTCCTCTCACATTGAAAATAATATGCGAACATTGCAATGACGCATTACATAATCCTAAACACGATTTCTATTGGATATAGGTATTAAATTGTCCTTGAGTTCAATTTTGGGGGTGTACGCAATCGTGTTCTCTATGGGTGCGTTTATTGGGTCTTGCCACTAGATGTATCGTACCCCCACTATCATACCCCACTATCGAACCCCACTATACGAAAGTGATTTGCTGGATGTCGCGTTTATCGTCTCTTCACGATTCAAAATAAAGGCCTTGTGTCTGCGCAGCTGTTTTTTGCCGTTTGACCCGGGAAGCAGACAGTTTCTCGGAGGTCAACTACACACACATGCTTGTACACAACACATGGCGCCTTAGCCTCCGAACCGGAAATTAACCTGGGTGGTCCGATTTGTATGTGGGGTTCAAACAGCTTTGCGTTTATCATCTCTCAGAAACGTGATTCTGGATGTATGTCACATTCAGAACACACCTTTTTGCGTTTTAGATATGCCCATATCTAAAGACCTTTAAAAAGAGCTTTTCGTTTATCACCTTCTAAATTTGCCTGAAAGACGTTTGAGAAACCTGATTCTAGCCAAAAAATTAGGTCAATAAACGCACCCTATGTTTCCAAGCGATGATGCTTTCAACGACAAGCTAGTTTTCCAGCGCCTGAAGCCAAACACTGTTACGCAATACTTGCGATCACACGTACGCCCTCGCTCTTTGACAATAATATTATACACGACCATCTTAATTTCCGTTGATCGTCTTCTTTACGTTTCTCGTACCAATTTTGTGAAATCTCGTGACTACATTCGTAACTTCGCGATTCTCACAGATATTCCCAGCTTCAGTTTTCATTGTAAATACTCTTCGGACGGCATAGTATTTGATTTGTTCTTTTCTTTTCTTAGAACGAAGTTGAAAATTAGACCTTAAAGTGTTGCGTATCAAAATACCCGTTTATTGTACACCAGTAAATGGCGCGGATAATTGGATCAGTGCCAATACCAAAATATATCAATTAACGCAAGTACGAGCGATACAGGTAAAAGAAAAGATGAATATGCCGACAATATTCCTTTTCGGCTCATATGGTAAAATGAAAGCCTTTGAAGCAGAAAAGGATCACCATTTATTTCAGGGCCCTTTCTTTATTCAGAGAAATAATCATCAAAACGCAGACATTAGGACTGTATGATATTTGAAAGAAAATTATAGTTGTGTTAACCTACCTCGACCCGGATGATGCGGAATAATCAAAGTCGGACCACAGCGTGCCAATTTTTTCATCAACATCACACGGGAGTGAGTCCAAGATCCTATCGGAGCTTTCATTGGCCTGGTCGATGCCGGATACATTGCCGGAGTCACGATCCTCGTTTCTGTCAGGTCGACTGGTTAGTTCCCCTGGGTTGTCGGATTTCGACGCGTTGCTAGCCCTCCGTTCCCGCACAGCCGCCGGGATTTCACCATGCGACACCACCTGAGAACGTTTGCGCCACCCCACTGGGTATTCGTAATCGACAAAATCATCGTCGTCGTCGGCATCGAAGCCGGATTGATTGATCTGGCTGATGGAACGTTTAGTGTGGAGTTGTGTTGATGGCGATCCGTCCGCCACCGTCGTTGGTTTGGCGGTATCGGTTGACGGTGCGCCTGCGTTTCCGCCCTCGAGATAACTGACTTCATTGGCACCAGAACTTCTCTTGGAGTCATTTGAGCCATCCTGTATGAGTGGGAAGGGAGTCAATATGTTACAGGTGATTTTATCAAGAGACATTTTCATTTAGGTAAACAACTTCCAAATAAATTGAGAACAAATTGAGAAAAGGACATTCAACATAACAAAACTCAATTCGATATTAATGGCTTGTTATCATAGCTTAATGTCATCTTTAGAGGGACACTCTCCTATTGGCAGATGATTGGTTCTTTCGGTATAGCGGTGAAGGGAGGCAATTTTTTGCATATATGGGATATTCATGGGGGCAGAATATTCTCTTGCCATTAGGATCCGTTGTCCAAGATGATGAGGGAAATAAACAGACGATCCCTAAATCATGAATAAAGGCTCGTTCATGACGTGAAACCTCCGGAAAAACAACAACCGCAGCAGTTATTCCTCGTAAATGAATAGGAACTATATTATAGGAACATCAATGCAAAAAGACCATTTCCAAAAATAAAGATGCAACGATAGGATTAGAACATTAGGTTCAAAATCATCTCAAAACAATCATCGGCAAATCTCTTTCGAACTTTGATATCATTTCATGCAACTTCAATACGCATTTATATGTTGGTCGTTTGTTTCATATTTTAAGAAGCTTAACTTGCTTTAGCTGTATAATGTACTGAATCTTTTAATCTCATCGCCTCGTATCCTACAAGTTGTGCAGGATCTCTGAAGAAGTCGCTTAGTACACTGACAGAGCTACCCTGGTAGTAATTAAACAACGGCAATGAAATACAGATAGAGGAATTAAGAGTGAATAGGAGTTCCTATACTCACAATGCTCACTGATAAAGTTAAGGATTGATGACCGTCTTGGCGGAGTAACTGAAATGAGTACAATCAATCATAGCTATGAATAGGTGTTAAATATTTTATACAGAAGTATTCACTCTATAAATGATATTTTGAAATGCATTCTGCAGTTGCATCAAAGCTTTTCATTTACATTTTACATGCATATCTGAACTTCAGAATGATTCTGTGTTATCTGTACCATCATCAATCATTCATAATTATTAATGCGATGTAATGATAAAAAATACGGTTTGTCGATTACTAATTATGTTTATATCTCCGTATATGTTTTCTAGGAAGTAAAGGATAGTCAAATAGTCATTTCAACGAAATCACATTACCAAATCACGCCCCTAGTCATATTTATGCATCAAAAAAAGTATATTCACATAATTATTAAGTCAAATTTTGTTCGGTAAAATTTTAGCGCCTGTAAAGCTTCATGGTTACACATTTCCCAGTTTATTCAGTTACCATAAATACATTTGACAAACATAATAATATTTGACGATTTTACCTCCCATCCGATTATTGATGGACATTATTGTCAACAAATATTTGAGTCTTAAAGATAAAGACCAGTTATGGTCATGCGATTGCATTGCAAAAGAAACGTTGTGGAATCGATCAGAAAAGGTTGATCATCTAGCAAATAAGTATTGGTGTATACTGCAAGGTTCTGGAATCATCAAAAAGATAAGAAATGTGGCCCAGTCTTGGTACAGTTACAAGCACTGTACACAGAAAGATGTATATGGGACTACGCGACACGTGCGTTATCTATCAGGTCTAAATATATATAATATTTTACCAAATATATCAATTAGTAGGCGGTCTGCAACATAATTTTGTATCACTACGTATTAGTCAAAACATATTCGTTCACATGATTGGTGATAAAAGCTTCCATTTCATTTTTTGAGAGGGGGGGGGGCGGTTCCAAAACTGGTCTTTACCTTTAACACAATGCCTCCAAGAACAACTCGTGGAGGAGTCCTTAGAGGACCCTGCATGTCTTACCCTTTTATCTCGTTTAAGCTGCTGAACTTTACTTTTGTGATCAAAGAGCTGGCGTGTTTGCTTGAGAAACGCTTGCCTCTCGTTGTTGAGTTTGTTTACCAGTTCATCACGTTCCAGCATGGACCTAGCTGTCTCTTCAAAAGACCTGTTCCTCTCAGAGATGGCCTGTGGGTTCAAAGGTCAAAGGTCATTATTGATCATCTCCATGCAGTACTGAAATGCTAACGTCATATTCGCTCCTCGTCCTGGATACTGGTTCTATTAAAACGACCATGGCAACAGATCGAGCCTGGGCATGAGGTTCACCGCAAAACCATTTAAACAACAGGCTGTATTGCAAGGCGAATTCAGTCTTTGGTGCTGGTGTGATCACCAAGTCATTGTTTAGCACAAAATTGTTTGGAACAAGCAATCTTCACAACTTGGCCAGTATGACGTCACACTTCGGTACTCATTAAAGGACTATGCAAACATGCTTCCCGGTGACGATATCGGAACGACAAAATACAAAATAAGAAATGTTTTACTCTGATATTTCGATCATTCACGTCACAACATCAAATAAGCTTCAAAAGAAAAGAAAAGAAAATACTTTGAGATTTTAGACATCCCATAACGAGAGGAGGAAACTCCAGTGGCATATACCCATAATGCAATACCAGACCAGTGGTCGGAATGTACAAAGATGGCCACACGTGCCCATGGCTCAAGTGCAGATTTCACTGATGTTTCCTCCTATGCTCTCGACGGGACGGGGCGTGGGTCAGGGATCGACCTCATACGCCACTGAATTCATGCGTCAGCTTATGCTCACCTGTGACCGCTCTGCACTGACTTGCGTCAATTCCTCTTGCGCCATTTCTAGACGCTCCATCACCATATCACGTTCCTCCCTCAGCAAGGTGTCAGCTGTGTCTAACTCTTCATTCTCGGCCTCTAACTGCAATTTTAATCATAAGATAATTCAATTTTAAATTAGTTGTTTCAGTTTGATTCAGTTAGTTGAATCACTCATTGCCATGCGCATATGTCAACAGTCTTTGCGTCCTAGTCGTACACATAAAAATTATGATATAGGCGGGATTTAAAAAAAAAATCTTTTTTTACTATGAAATTATGATGTCATCGCCGTCAATAGCAAATTCTATGACTGAACTTTTGACCAATCAGAGGCTTAGAATCTGGATATGGTATGCAAATGTTCACACTGATTATTATGCTTCTTCTATACTGTTTTACGCTATGATTTGATTGGATGTGTCCTAATCGAATGGTTTCACAGTAGATATACGGTTCGAACCCTTGAGCAAGACTACTGTCCTGTTCTTTGGCAAGATTTGAATATTCATCAGCGTTTTCAACCTTGCCATAGTCACGGCACCCAGTAAAGAAATACACAAATAAAAGTTTCGCGTCACCCGAATCCAGAGACCTGAGGGGCGTTTCACAAAGCCCTTTTTCAATGACAAAGAACAAAAATCAGTGACAAATCTGCTGATAACCAATCAGAAGCAAGGATTTCAGTAGATTATAACACAAATTGTCATTTTGTCACTGCATGATGACAAGTTTTGTGAAACGGCCCCCAGGTCTTCAGGCACTCCTCTCCTTGAAGTCATCCTGTTTGAGAAAGAAAAAAACGGTTCATTATATCTTTAAAACATTATTTGTTCATGAATACACATACCGGTTTTTAAAACTTTGTTTCCACGAAATTCACGTCATTTCTAGAATAGAATTCACTAAAAATGTCTCGCGGCACCCAGGTTGGAAAAACGCTGATCTTCAGTCATGGCATTTGCCATTCACGACCCGGAGCCGTTAAATGGCTTGCTAGAGGAAGTAATTCCTTGTATATACAGTCAGCACCGAAATTGCTAGTGTAGCTAAAGACGGGTAAATATTAGGGCGCCTTGGTTTGGAACACCTTGCGTGGCCTTATGAGTGCTTTATGTCAAACATGTCTGTAGCAGCCGCCCAAGGGAAACGCAAAAAGTGGTCCTTGTAGACAGGTTCCTTCAATGAGAAACCATTTTAAAGGGAAACAAAAAATGTGGTCCTTGTAGACATGTGGTCTTTGTAGACAGGTGGTCACTAAAGCAGGTTTGACTGTATTATCATTCAGAGAAATTTGTTATCCTTTGTTGAACTCACCTTCGTTTTCGCCTCTTGGACCTCGTAGAGTTGTTTACGTACTTTGACTAGCTCATTGACAGTCTCTTCGCACTTGGTCACGGCCTCTTCCTTATCAGCTACCATTATATCCAGTTTGGTCTGATCGTGTACATCGTTGTTCACTGGTGGTTTGTCCTAAATACAGCAGATAAATATGCGAATGGGTTTTGTGATTGAAGACACACTTTGGAATAAAAAAAGACTTATACATGTAGTCAGAGTTTAAAGATAAAGTTAAGTTCTGGTCATGCGATTGCATTGTGAAAGAAACGTTGTGGAATTGATCAGAAAAGGTTGATCATCTAGCATATAAGTATTAATGTGTACTGCAAGGTTATGGAATCATCAAAAATGATAAGAAATGTGGCCAAGTCTTGGTTAAGTTACAAGCAATGTACACAGAAAGATGTATATGGGACTTCACGAACATGTGGAATAAAAATCCGTCCTGATTATACGTTACGTGCCATATTTAGAATATTAAGGCATTTGAAATTAAGAGCCACGCTTTTCAGGGAACATTTTTTATGTGATATGTTCTTCCACACTTGCATAATACAATGATAACGCTCACAAATTATTTTTCACCTATTCCCAGAACTCAACCTTATCTTTAATGGTCCTATATAGCATCGTTAATGAAATGTATCGAATGTCGATCTGTAAATAGATAACCAAATAATATCGGGTGAAACTAATGTCAAGACAATGAAGCTCGTATATAGTTCAAGAAATTCAAGGCTATATTTTCTACATCTTCTGGACTTTCGAGCTGACCAAACCTCGGCAAATCAATTTCTTGATGCCGTAGTATTAATCGTTTCGAGTTGAACTTCATCAAAATTTTGTAAAATGTTTGAAAATGTTAAAATTCAACAACATTTAGGAAAAGGCTTGAACATATTTAATTAATGTAGATTTTAATTATTGCGACGGTTTTTGTTGAGGCACTGTTACTTGCATATTTCTGTGTGGGTAAGGGTGTGTGTGCATATGTGTGAATATTTGAAAAGTAACTAATAATTTTAAGTTAGATCAATGGGAAGCCGAGATGATAGGTTGCTTTTGTCGATAAAATTTATACCTCAATTAAAAAATCTATGACAAATGTATTTTCCGAATATATCTGGCTGAGGCTGGTGGAGAAGCTCTGGGTCAAAGATTTAAAATAAAATTTAAAAATCGTTTATTTCCATTTCCAACAAAATAAAATAAAGTACATGGGATTGCATTGTACATAGTAAAACAATGAAACTTAACAATATATTTGTAATTGGTCTACAATGTACAAAAGGCATATAAAACAGGTTGGTCATGGAGGGGACTGCTGAAAAGGGGACTGATTAAAATCCTTACCTCCATCTTTTTGGCTCGGTCCAGACCTAGTTCATGGAGTTGGTCGACGAGTGACCTCAGGGTTTCGCTGGCTTGCATCCTGTCCGTCGATCTCTCCTGCTCTAACCGTGTTGATTTCTTGCGTTGGAGAGTCAGCCTGGCCTGGGCCTCCCGGACCTTGTTCTCTAAGGCATTGTTTTCCAGGTTCACCTAACCCCCAAATAAAACAAAAATCAAAGATCTTGCGCTAAAAAGTTTCTTCAATAAAGCTTATAATGCGTCTACTACTGCTGTTACTACTACTACTACTACTACTACTACTACTACTACTACTACTACTACTACTACTACTACTTCTACTACTACTACTTCTACTACTACTACTACTACTACTACTACTACCACTACCACTACCACTACTACTACTACTTCTACTACTACTACTACTACTACTACTACTACTACTTTATTATTACTACTACTTCTACTACTACTACTACTACTATTATTATTATTACTACTACTTCTTCTACTACTACTACTACTACTACTACTACTACTACTACTACTACTACTACTACTACTACCCCTGTTGCCACTGCTGCTGCTGCTACTACAGCTACTACTACTCAATATAAGTGACTTTGTTGTAAGAGGTTACAATAATAATAATTATTGAATGTGGGATACTACAAGTGTTTCGCAGGTAATTAAAACCACCATGAATTCTTTAAAATTATCAACCTCTTGTTCCCATTAAAAGATAATCACCACGTCTTCAGTCACATTCTGCGTCAAGTTTTATTTCATTTGCCATGTGATAAACGCAGTGTGATCCTACTGACAACATCCATCGACACTAGATGAGTGAAAGAAATTCATATCTACATCCCTTGGATATGACAGTTCAAAATGTCAAGTACAGCGAGCAATGATAATCATGCATTGTGGTCATTTCTTGAGTCGACTGTGAGGTCCCTATCTATTTTCCTTTTCGTCTCCTGTTATCCGTACGTTGCCCCATTTTCTGTCTTTTCACATATTTATTATTTCACCAAGTTACATAAGCCCCGCTTAATTCTTCTTCCTTTTCTTCTGTGTGGATATTTTATTAGCCATGACACTTGCGCGCTATCACAATTCCCTCTTATTCTGAGTCTCAGGTTCTCCATTCGTGCTCTGACACAACAAATCACAAGATAACCCTTAAAACCTATAAGTACTAGTTTCGCCAGGGGGATTAGACCTCCCTGCAAGGTCACTGACAGGTGGTTACCTCATCGAATCAGCTCTCAATTAACATTTAAAAAAGAGGATCGTGGGGGACCAACAGGCACTGATTAGGCATTGTTTGTTATATAGAGGGCGCATGTAGCTATACGTAGTGCAGTGTGGCTTTGAATAAGACGCTCACCTTTCTGAGTTTATCGTTGGACGAAATCAACTGCGTCTGGGCCTCGTAAGCTTTCGCCTGAAGATCACATATCTGAAATCGCTTCCACTGGATTTCGTCCTTTAACTGGATAAAATAAATATAAATTGGAAAATAAGGTAATAAAGAGGTGACGAGATGGGTCAATGGTAGAGACTTTAAATTGGAAGAACCCAATTTGATTCGCTGGTGCGCTTTGGTAAGGCATTAAATCCTCATAACCAAGTCTATCGGAGAGGACTTAAAGCAGTCGGTCCCCTGGTTACTTACTATGATACACATGCTTTATTATCAGTCAGTGAAATAATTCTTCAAACCTACCGATTGTCTGCACATGAATCGAACTGTTCATTCAATATGCATATAATTATGTCAACTTAACTCAAATTTTACATTCCACTCGCAAATCTTTTTTTTTTTTTTAGCTGTTTGTCTCCGATTAGTTAATTACAGAGGCTCTACAATTTATTCATACGAGTTTTATTTTACATCCTATCTGAGAGATTGCCAAGGTTGACAGTAAAGTGAGATGTACGGCAACTAGGGCAAGCGAAAGATTAGCAGAAGTGTCTATCATAATTATAGTCGTATAGGTTTACCTTTTTTGATTTTACGAGTCTTCTATGCATGCTTGTAGCTCTATTGAAAATCAAAAAAGGGGTTTGGGGATTAAAGTTATTCCCCACCCCCCAAACTTTGTTCCCCTCGATTAGCTTCTGCTATAGGCCTATATAATACCCAACTATGGCTTAAAGGTAGAATTCGTTAACCCTATAAACAGGAATGTACAGTAGAAAAGGAGAAAAGAAAACGAAACAAACCTAGAAATATAATAGGTTCTATTTAGAGGTCATATTCAATATCAGCATGGTGTCAAACGGAAAATATTTTCACAATTCACCCTCATTCAGTCATTTTAGTTGTGTCCACTCAGGGAACTAGAGTGTTTGTTCCCCCATAACATTGCAATAACTCACAATATATATTTGTTGTTTGCTTTGGGTTAAAGGGCCCCTCCCCCTATACTGCCCCGGAAAAAATTAAACGCCCATGGTTGAGGTCTTACCTTTTGTACTTCTCCTGTTTCTGACTGTAGCACGTCGAGTTGCTTTTTCATGGTTTCATTCACGTGCTTCAGCTTGAGTTTCTCCTCGAGTCCCTTGTCATAGGTCTTGGTGAATTTCTCAAGCTCTCTCCTCAGGGAGATGTTCTGCTGTTTCTCCTTCTTGTAAGCCTCCATCAGATCCAGCGAGATCCGATCGTCGTGGCCTAGGAAAAAGAACGGGAGACGAAGCCGCTTGAACTTGAGTTTATTCATGTCATCAGGCACGTAGCCAGAGTTTGATGTTTGGGGGGGGGGGGGGGTGCACATAATATTGTAATCGATCGAGGTCAAAAAAGGGGTCTAAAAAAATGCAACCGATCCTGGAAATTTAGGGGGGCACGTGCCCCCCCCCCCCCCCCGTCGTGGCTACGTGCCTGCATGTCAAACGGCCATTGATCTACATGATACATCATGAACTCTGTATTGTGACCAAGTGTTAACCCCCCCCCCCCCCCTGCATCAAAGATGACGTAAAGCTTGACTGATCACTGTCGAAGAGTAAATGCTGCTTCTATTTTCTGCAAGCCTCCACTAGATATAGCAAGATATGATCGTCGTGGGCTTCGAGAAAGAATAAGAAGATGAACACGTTTGAATTTCAGTGTTTTTTTAAAAAAATATGATCATGGCCCTATACGTTGTTACCCCCGCCACAAGGTAGCGTTGGTGATGTCATGTTCATGTTAATTTTAAAGAGATAAACGCTTTCTAATTATTTCAGAGGAGGACAGGGCATGGGTGGTGGTTCATACTAAGATGTGCCGACTACAACTTGACCACAATATTTGTCCTCAATTACCCACCACCCGGGCCACCACCCTTGCTATGATCATGGGTGTTTGATGTTAAAGCTTTCAAAAGAGTTGGGCAAAAAGATTACTTTTTTAAAAACAATACCGAGTAACATACTGTCTACTATTTTTTTGATGCAAAGTTAACCAACTGATGTTGCGCATTTTAAATGAAAAGTGGTAGGACAAATGCAATTGAACTGGCAACGGATGAACTGTCTAGCCTCACCCAAGACATGAGTAAAAACAACGAAAGTTCACAAACTCTAGTTAACCATTCATGGTGAAAAATGCCTTTAAAAAAGGTGGGGTGAGGGGAGGGGGGAGGATAAAAATTGGCAAAACGTGTAATTGTTTGGCTGTTGACACCCATGCTCCGACAACTGGTGATCAAATCGCTACAACAAAGCTCTGTAAGTGTATATATACATGTAAGATGATAAAAGTACATAAAACATAGATGCTTTCAGGATATACTTTCCTTGAACAGAGAGGGTTATGTGATTATAAGACTAACATTTATATTCATCAATAATCTATCAGTACTTTATTAATACTTATACAGGAAGTTAACAGGAAGTTTAAGTGTTTATTTATTTCACGGTCACTTTTCAATACATTATCAGTGAGTACATTTGAGTATACGGAGTATATAGTCACCATCAGACTTGCTAGTCTAGATTTCAACCAATCGATATTATAGTATTTGTAACTTTATGAATTATTTCGTCTTAATAAATGTTATGCTCTCACTTCAATTATAATAAACTTGACTGATTATTGACTATCTGTACATGAGAAAGTAGAATTTGTATCGTTAACTAATCCCAACCCACAACAAAATCTTGTTTGACTTCAGTCATTTAATAATGATAATAATGATAGTAATAATATTATGATAATAATAATGATATTAATAATAACAATAATACAAATAATAATCAGCATTTTGTATTACCTTTTCATTGATAATTGTAGTATTTCCATAGTGGAAACGATTCGATTTGATCTGATTTAATTTGATAAATTGACACATTTAAAGGTAAAGACCAGTTATGGTCATGCGATTGCATTGTGAAAGAAACGTTGTGGAATCGATCAGAAAAGGTTGATCATCTAGCATCTAGCATCTGCAAGGTTCTGGAATCATCAAAATGATAAGAAATTTGGCCCATTCTTCGTAAAGTTACAAGCACTATACGGCAGAAAGATGTATATGGGACTACACTATATCTCTCTCAGACCATGAGAGAAACAAATTTACCGAATATATGAATTAGTAGGCGGTTTCCCGGCAAATTTGTTATCATCATGTATTAGTCAAAACATATTCTTTCACATGATTGGTAATGAGAGCTTCCATTTCATTTTTGAAATTGGGGCATTTCCAATACTGGTCTTTACCTTTAAGGCAACAACTTACATTCACACGAGCAAGTCTTGCTGAGGCCAATCGTCCATGATTTTGGTTCCGGGTTAATACCGGTGATGTTCTTGTATAGATCCGGGTGATCGGCTTCCATGCATTCTAGGAGCAGTTTGTAGGCCACGTGACCTCGTTCTCGCACGATGTCGAGAAATTGACCTGGTCAAAGTGTAAGGTTCAAAGTTCAAGGTTTAAGGTTCAAGTTCATAATGCATTAGAATGAGACTTCCAACAACATTTCATTTGAATGCGTTATTAATGTAGAAAAATTGGGAAATTGATTAGTTTTGAGATCGTTATATTTATGATCTTGTTCTCGCAAAGGGAAGGGCTAACAAATCTAGCACTTGAGTACCAAGATTCATTGTGGACGACGTTATCGAAATAAGAATGCGTAAAATTATACCCAATATTTGGTTGAAAATGAGGTTTTATGCTTGTTAGGTAAAATTTGACACAATCTTGGGAAATATTTCATCCAAAAAACGTGCATTTTCTCCTTTCAGCTTAAAGGGCGTCCCTTTAAGCTTTTGCTTACAGTCGTCGTTGTATTGTGTAAACATATTTTGTGCAAGTTGGACGCAATATAGCGCATGTTGCTTTGTTAGGCAAGCACCCAACAAAGAATGTACATCAGAGTGTGACCAATTGAAACCGAATAATGCAATCATATACATACGTGTGAAATATCAAATTAAACATATATCTTTTTTAAAATAACACTATTTGAATCATACAGTATTTATTATCAATTGTTAAAATAAAATACTGAACGCATGGTTACACTTACAAAACCATGCCTATAAACAAAAGCAAAAACAAATAAATAAACCTAGAAATGCTAAAATATTTAGAGAAGGAACAATGTAGAGTAGGCCTATTGCACTTTTGAAAGTTTACAAAAAGGTTGCATACATATATGTTAATTGATATGTAAATTAATATATGTAAATGCTCCCCATGCATATATATATATATATGGCTTCTGTATGTTTACTTCAAGGTTTTGTCTCGTGTTTTCTAGTAATAGATATATTATTTTTGAAAAAAATTCTGATATAATATATACTTTTGAATATATAAGTTTTTTTGTATTTAAAACTCCGGTCTACGATATATATCATATACATATTGCATAAACGCTTTTTGTTAATATCCTTCTCATCGCGCCATGTCAAATTATCGACGATCTTCTTCATCATTTTTTGTACGGAACCTATTCTTTACAAGCTTTGCTTTTTATTAGGTTTTGTCATATTTCACTGTCAATATATATATCCGTCTTCTTGTGAAAGCTGTTAAATAACTCGATCAATAACTAACTTTGTAACAGGATTTAGTTTTCTTTTGTATGATTATAATTTATGAAGAACTGTTTTATGTTGTAATATGGAAAACAATAAACTGAAAATGAAACTGAACTGAAAAGTATTGAATCCAAAGTCCAAACTCGTCCTCGGTACCCAAGTCTACCGAACGTGCAATTTCTATTTATTATTTGTTCAACATTTTTACCGGATTCGCTTACTTCATGGAAAATGCACTTAAAAGTAGTTTTCTTGAATGCACTCCGATTTCATCTTCATTTTTCAAACAACTTCATCAATATCGAGTGAGTAACTATGTTGGCTATTAAATTCAGAGTTCATTTTATTTGTTCTAGCGAGGTGGAAGCTGGAATTCACATATATTATCAGGGGGAAATGAGACAAAAGAATAAAATCCATCTGCAAACATTATAGCCTACGTCATCGAAGCTAGTTTTAAAAAATACCATTAAAATACAAAGTAAAACAACATTCTTTTATTAGGACAAGTTAATTTAATCATTTTCTTCCCAGAATATAATATAGGGCTAAATGCGGGCCTAAATCTGTTCAGAGATATCATCTTCCTCTCTCTCTCTCTCTCTCTCTCTTTCTTTTTCTTTTCCTGGCTTTCTCATTCCTTACAATTAATATGTATCTCCTCCTTCTCTCGTTCTGTTCTTCCCTCTTCACCCCTTAACCTGTCACTCTGTCTCTCTTTCCCATTCTGTGCAACTATTATCCCACGGTTATCTCTACAAAATGTTTATTCACTTGATTTCCGATACGCATTTTCGAAATCTCTAACGACTGACGAAATAGCTGGAAAAAGAATGAAAAATTCTAGTATCAGTTTTCAAACCATACTGGGGAAAAATAACGGGACATTCCCCTAGTTTCAGTTTGCCGAAGCCGAAGGTCGGCGGGCTCAATTTCCGTTTAAACAAGTGTCTGAAGTTAGACTCTCACGCCATCTATTATGTGTACTTTAGAATTGTGTATACATGTGAACAATTGTTTTTTTTAAATGGGGATATGGCTTGCTGAACACAGATGCATGTAGTCTAGTAGATATTAGTGACTTTTAGATTGAGTGGGCGAGAACGGCGTGAACGTCCACCGATCATGCGTGTCCATGTCATCGTTATAATATTTATTCCTATTTCTTGATATCAAGAATTGGATACTTGATATCAATATATGATTTTCTATTGTAAGCAATGGTAATTCTTGATATCAAGAAATAGGAATAAATGTGAAAACGGCTTGTCATAGACACACATGATCAGTGGAAGTTCACGCCGTTCTCGTACGTCCACTCAATCTAAAAGTCCTTAGTAGTCTCCGGTATGTGAACCACGGACTTGCTGAAAAACAGCCCTGTGGCTGATAGCAGATGTTCTAACTGTGGTAAAAAAGAGAAAAACTAATGACCTTTGGCAAGACATTAATCTACAATTGCAACACTCCACCAAGGTGAGGTAAATGGGTACCTGACAGGAATTAGTTCCTTGAAATGGTGGAACCAGGGACTTGTCTATCAAGTCCCTGGTGGAACGCTGTAACGGCAGCCGTGCTAAAACAAGGGTCACAACAAAGGAGCGCCACACTCTAAATTTAACAACGGTTGACCCATTAATTTGTATGTGCTTGAACAATTTCAAAGCGGATAAACCATTCAACATTCAACAGTAAGAGACAAAATTGTTTGCTAACAAGCGGATAAATTGATTGTTTAACAATAAATGCTAAATTTACCTGCGTTTCAAGTGTTTGAATTCACCTATAAATGTATGTTTAAGTGCATGTGTTTGGATATTGGGGATAAAAGCATGTTAGTAAACAAACGTTAACATTTTTACATTGCAGGCAATGTGCCACACATGAACGCTATTCAAGACTCCACTATTATTATTATTATTATTATTATTATTATTATTATTATTATCATATTATGTTATACTAATAAAGACCGAAGTATTTGGAGAGACACTTGAAGTAGAACTCTGATTGGGTCACTGAACCTGTCATAAACTGACAGATCACTGCTGATGATGTTATACAGTGCGTCCCCCAAAAAACGAAACCGAGAATGTTCGATTTTTTTAAATTATAACTTAGCCACAATTTAAATAATAAATGACACATATTTGTAAAGCTTAGATCCTCCTCTCATTTTGATGCGACTCATAATAATGCATATTTCACGCATGAGGGATTAAAAGCAATTTGAGGAAAGGAAACCAAAAAGCCATTCGGTATCTGAATTTCAAAGAAAAACAAATCACATTTCTAGAAAGTTCATTTCCTGCCCTTTCATAATTATGATATCTCAAGCACGAAAAATGAGCCAGGAATAACGAAGTTGTGTTTGATTAAAGTAATGCATGAAGTCTTTAGTCTTTTTGCTGCATGTCTGATCGTCAACGCAACGGAGTTAAGTCTTTTGTCAACTCTGTTTGTTGCTATGGCAGGCAGCCAGTAAAACGAATTCGTTTAATCAAATTATGGAAATGCAGGCACAGAACTTTGTTGAGTTTCCTTACGTTTGATTACACATTGGTTCACAATCTGTAAATATCAGAACTGTCTAAATACCTTTAAAGACTAAAGATACATGATCGCTAAGAAGGCAAGAGTACTTGTATGAAAGCAAAAAGTGGATCTACACCTAATTTGACACTTTACCACAATCCCTAAAGCCTTGAGCAGAGCCTAGATCTGTCGGTTTCTGCCAGGAGCGGCTAAAGTACAGATCCTATTGTGGTCTCTGAGTGTTGACGCTGTAACGCACAACGACCAATTATTTATTATGAATACACAATGAAAAGATTGATTATCATTGCATTCCACAGAACAAGTAAATACAGGCCTACAGCTGAGAAGGGTCGGGTAATTTAAGGGAAATCAAACCTTGATAGCAAGCTACTCTAAAAGAAAGCAGAAAAATCGGAGAAGCAAATCGGTGAAAGTTTGAACGAAATCGGACCCCAAAATATGAAAAAGTTATGAATTTCGAAAGTTATAATCACTATGTACGGGCACTTCAAATGTGCTGAATAGGCAGTATCGCTTTCATTAAGTGCCGGACAACTTTCACATTAATTGTTTCAACACAAAAAAATGATTAAAAGGTCAATTTCTTTTAAAATACTATGATTCTTTCCTTTTTAGAGAACCTTTAAAGGTTCTATGTCCCATTTGCAGTCCCCAAAAATGAAAAAGTTAGTTTCCAACGGCATTTGGAAGAAAATACTAATTTAGAACTTCCCTAACAAAAAAAAAAAGGGGGGGGGGCTTGAAAATGTCTTTAAGTGGGAAATGAACGAATATTAGTTGTCGAATCGACTTAAGAGCTATAGAGCCAGTAAGTAATAGTCTGATTTTCAGACTATTGTACCTAATGGTCGTACGTTTTATGCTACGCAAAGATTCAATCAGTTTAATTTTGGCCATTACAAGGAGTGGGTTATTGATGTAGACAAATGCTCATGTACCCGTTACAGCTCATTTTTGTATGTTATCACCAAAGAAGAAAAAGCCAGTCAGTCACTCAATAGTGTCTGACAGTGAAGTCTAGCAAGTAAACGGGTTTCTTTGCAGAATTTGAATATTATGACACTGCTAAACGTTTAAATTTCACAGATAGGACACACATGACATATTCATAATTCCTGCAAAGTTCTACAGAATTTGATTTTGGCTGCAAAAGGGACAGACTTTAATGATATATGCACAATACATTTTGAGACGTGCCCCAAGGAAGAAGGCGTTTAGGAGTAAAACAAAAATGTATGATATTTTCGTACACAACAAACGGGAGAGTAGTCCGTGCATATACGTCACATTCAAGTAACCAAATTTCCAATTTTCGATTCGCATATAATTATAGTGATCCCATATTTCAAATACTCACAACTTTCTTATTATTGGTCCGAATTATATCAAACAACCGCCATTCTTTTTCTTTTATTTCTCCGTTTTCATATACAAATTACATTATTACAAGGGTGGGATTGCCCTTAAAACTATTTACTTAGGTCAACTCGGTGATGAGGTGTCAAGTTTTATACAGTGCCAACTGAAGAAAAAAGGGACCTCTAAAGTCAAAGTAACTACTTTACAATCCTATCATCAGATAGTCTTGAATTTGGCGTTCTAAAAGACGTATTTGATACAAGAAAATTACTGAGTATTTGCGATCGATTCAACTATATAGGCCGTAAACTTTCGCCGAGGCCAAACCTTCCCTATACTGCGGAGTATCATAGATATGGAAGTGTGTTTATTGAAATGCTGTTTTATAAGGGGGTGGTTTGGGTAACCATAATAGTGTGTAACTCCCCTCCTCTATAATCAATTCGGGAAAATTTCGGAGAGGCGCTGTTTTGTTCATTTTGTTTGTTTTGTTTGTTTGTGTGTATGACTGTTGTTTGTTATCATGACGGCATTTTAAATGCGACCCCCTAACATTCCAACTTGCCTGGTGACGCATCTATTACCAGAACCTCAAGATAACCTTTACATATATATTATATTAGAATCTATTTCGAGTTTTAAATTGTAAAGAAAGGAAATGAAAGCAAGGAAATGCTACAAGGAAGAAACCTATAACTTCAATTGCACTTTACCGGACACGTTAAGCGGAAATGTTAAAACCACGAGTCTCAGAGCAGAACACGTTTTGTAGACAACCTGACACGGTCATTAATTTAAACTGTTTATCTTCACATGCAATGCGTAAAACGATGGATTATACTGAATATACTGAAAATATACTTAAAGGGAAAGAGTACTCTCATTTCTAGCTCAAAGCAGCTGAGCGTCGCTTAACCATTCTGGATTGAAAGGGAGATGGTGAGGGTGTATTTGCGAGTATGTTGGGCCCAGTTCTATCTGTGGTCTTCATCTTTAAAGTATTGAAGCGAATAAAGTCTTTGCACAGGTGCATAACTAGAGGCGCCATTTAAACCTTTATCAAAATGATGTCATATTGTATACCGTAACCATTCTATGACACAATGGCGCCGAGTTGGATGTGCCGGATGATGGACACACAGATTCAATCAACAAATTCGATTAGTCTTAATAGATTTTGCGTTTTGAAATAATCATCTAGAAAGTTGCAGGATACAAATCCTATCTAATTCATATCGTTGACAGAACGCAGATCGAGAGATTTTGATGATACTGAAAACAGTCACAAATGATAAACATAAAAATTGACCTGCCTTGTAACCAAACGTTTTCTCTACTAATCCTGCAGCCTTGTAATATCATTATTATGACAACATTTGGTTTTTACTTGTACTTATTTTTTTTTTGTAGTTCGCTTTCAGGAAACTTGTGAACAGCTGTAATAATTACCTCTTTTAGCATTCGATTCGTTAACGCGGGAGTTTTATGGATAAATACATTTATGATTATGTTTTATGAATGTGTATGTCAAATGTTTCCAAGGTTGTTCTAAAGTAAACATCAGTTTTTGGAACGAGATTTTTTTATTTTGCATGTGCACGATGAGAGAGAGAGGGGGGGGGGGGGGGGAGGGAGGGAGGAGATGGGATACATAAGTCAGGAAAATAGAGACCAAGAGAGAGAGAGAGAGAGAGAGAGAGAGAAATATTAGGGTCTACATGACTTTTTCATTTTTTCATTTTTTGTATTTGTCGATTGTTGTTGAGGGTATTTGCAAAGCTTGCGGAAATTAAGGGCAAATTCTTCAAATGACCCAAATATCAGATCACAAAAATACTAACCTGCTTTTTTGTCCCGTGTGGGATTTTTCGTCTCGTTGTTTATGACTTGTGTGTCGCTCTCGTCCAGGATTCGCTCGCTCCGAAACTTTTCGAAGTACCGATCCGGTCGGAGAACTCGGGTCATCTCGAACCGATGCGACTGCAGCTCGTCCTCCCAGTTCGGATCCATTGTAGTCCTATCCGTATCGTGCTCTAAAATGGGGGAAATAAGAGTTGAATGTTGTAGATTAATAAAGAAAGAAAGAAAGAAATACACAAATAAATAAATAAAATAATTAACAAATTATTGAATAAATGAATACAATACTAAATTTCTAAATTACTTCTATTAGGGGCCTATACTACTACCACCACTACTACTACTACTACTACTACCACCGCTACTATTACTACTTTACTACTTCTAATACTTATACTAACAAGTAACAATACGACCAAATAATAATAGCTCGTTCTTAAATAGCGCTTTTCAAGACCGCAGGCTCTCTCAAAGCGCTTTACAGATATTATATTAGGCCTTGTGACGTTTAACACTGATATGCATCCGGGTGCACACGAGGCGTCAATGCTCTGCGCCAAAATAATGATCCGTATATACCCATCGCGCTAGAAGCGTGATTCCCTAACGCAGGACAACGCTCGCGACTGGCGAGGTTTTTTTAAACGAAATGGTCTATGTAAATTAACTAATTTACCACACTAGTGTTATGTCAAATCAGAAACCAAAAAGTCTGGGTCAGGCCGCGTTCTGTAAACTACTTCTAGAGTCTTCGTCTGAGCCTTTCATGTCCACTTATCAATTCGAATGTCTTTGATAATAGCGCCTGAATAGAAAATGCAGCCGGCCCGTACACGAGGTGTCGATTCGATTGCGTCAATAAAGCCTACTATTGTCAATCTAGCTCGTGAATAAAATTAGCCCGGATTTGTTAGTCATCCGACCCATGTTAACGCATTTTTCAAACTGCAATCATATTTTGTTTGTATGATATCCCCCGTGATGCGGTTTTTTTTTTTACACACTTGTGAGAGAATATCCCCAACTCATGGCGCGTCAAGACTGCACCATTCGCTGACGCAGTTATTCGCTGACGCAGTCATACGTACAATTTGGGGGGAATGCATACGAGCGTCCGTTACTTTTTAAGGGAGAGCAGTATAGACGAATATGTAATGAATCATAAGTTCACGTACAGGATGTTAGATATGGTAGCAGATTGTTGAATGTGATCACGCAATGATCAACGGCATTCTTGGATCGGAAGGGGGTGTCTGTAGAGGAAATGTTTCCAGCAGTAATATTGTTGTTAGCCTACAATATTGCGATAAAATCAACTTTGGTCATGAAATGTTATTTAATTGTTTCCTTCCGCATGAGATATAGCTCATAATGAGCCCCGAATTATCTTGTTTTCATGATAAGAACGCTCTTATTTCAAGGGTGGATCCGTGTTTTGTCTTTGTATTTTGTACTTTTCGTAGATGGAAGTACGTTCACCTGTCCAAGATGGATCCGTGTTGTCTTTGTTGTGTTGACTTTTTGATGATGAAAGTACGCGTTCACCTGTCCAAGATGGATCCGTGTTGTCTTTGTTGTGTTGACTTTTTGATGATGAAAGTACGCGTTCACCTGTCCAAGATGGATCCGTGTTGTCTTTGTTGTGTTGACTTTTTGATGATGAAAGTACGCGTTCACCTGTCCAAGATGGATCCGTGTTGTCTTTGTTGTGTTGACTTTTTGATGATGAAAGTACGCGTTCACCTGTCCAAGATGGATCCGTGTTGTCTTTGTTGTGTTGACTTTTTGATGATGAAAGTACGCGTTCACCTGTCCAAGATGGATCCGTGTTGTCTTTGTTGTGTTGACTTTTTGATGATGAAAGTACGTTCACCTGTCCAAGATGGATCCGTGTTTATAATTATGTTTGTCTTTTTTGGGGGGTACTTTTTGTTGTTTAAGTATAGCCTGGGTTTCCTGTTCCCAAGTTGCTCCTTGAGGATCCATGCATTCGTACAGGTTCTCGATTTATTTTCAATATCTTTATTTTAGTCGACACAAGTTGACAGTAATCATTTGACATCATATCGAGACTTTCATTGGATACAAAAAGTAATCAGATGCACAAATTGTTTGAACTCCAATGATCGGGGTATTAATAGAACACATAGAACAGGTGGAGACAAATTATTTGGCATGATGTCATAACTACATCTGATTCATTCTAGTGATTAAAGATAAACTCCAGTACTGGTAAAAAAAAAAATAATAATTCTCACAGAATCAAACGAAACTTACACTGAATGTTCAAGATTACAACTAAATAACATGTGCCAAACAATTTTGGAAGAAAATGTATACTGGCTGAGTAATGAGCATAGAAAGACAAGGAAATCAAGGTAGTACTAGCCCCGACACCATGTGTGTTGTCCCATATATAGCTTTCTATTTGAGTGCTTGTTACTTTACCAAGACTCGGTCAAATTTATTATGATTTTGATGACTCCAGAACCTTGCAGTGCACACCAATACTTACATGCTACATGATCAACTGTTTCTGATCCTTTCCACACCTTTTCTTTCACAATGCAATCGCATTACCAGTACTAAAGTTTATCTTTAAAGGTAAAGACCAGTTATGGTCATGCGATTGCATTGTGAAAGAAACGTTGTGGAATCGATCAGAAAAGGTTGATCATCTAGCATCTAGCATCTGCAAGGTTCTGGAATCATCAAAATGATAAGAAATTTGGCCCATTCTTCGTAAAGTTACAAGCACTTTACACAGAAAGATGTATATGGGACTACCCTATATCTCTCACAGACCATGAGAGAAACAAATTTACCAAATATATGATTTAGTAGGCGGTTTCCCGGCAAATTTTTTATCATCGTGTATTAGTCAAAACATATTCTTTCACATGATTGGTAATGAGAGCTTCCATTTCATTTTTTAAAATTGGGGCGTTTCCAATACTGGTCTTTACCTTTAATAAAGCCTTTTTAATATTTGTCCAGGGTCTAGACTTCCCCTTTCGCTATTTGTTTGATGAATACATCATATCCTGTTTAGATCTACGTCACGTACTCTGTGTCACACCAGACGACTGTCTGAGCATGGACCTACTACATGGTCTGAGCCTCTGAGGTAAACGCGGGTAGACATTCCTTCTCAAACAAGAGGAGATGAGCGCGGTGCCATTTAAATTACAATGCATGTCTGCGGTAATCACGAGGTACATGGTAACACGTCCACAGTGAAAAAGTGCACGCTATCTCTACAACAGTACACAAATAAAAATAACAAAAACAAAAAGAAAAAAGAGAAAACTTCGCCAGACAGCGCCGCTCATTCATATTCATATTCATATTCATATTTATTTCATTTCCAACAGAAAGGTAAACAAAGATATTACATTTTTTCATACATAACTCATTTTTTCAGGAAACTATACAAATAAAATTTGCACATAATAAAATTATTACAAGAAATTCTTAACTTCTGAGGAAATGGGGGGGGGGGGGGATCCACTAAAAACGATGCTTGTAGTTTGTGGATCCCCCAGAAAAAAATAAAATTGACGATGTCTACACGAAATATATTTCTTATAAACAATTTAAAAAAATTCATGAGACAAATTGAAAATCAAGGTTCAATGTGATCTATTTGTATTTCAAATTTTCAATGTTATCGCGAAATCTAGGTCAAACACGTTGCTGAACATATATTGACATATATGTTCAGCAAATTGACCTCATTGTTTACATCCATCTTCACGGCCGATCACGTACGTGAATCAGGGAGAAGACTTCCGGTTTCTACCCCGCGAGCGTTTAGATCTATGCTCAAACAACGGATCACACGGGATGCCCTCAGGAGGCTGTGCCGTGTCGTGCTCCCGGCCCCCCCCCCACTCAGTGTTATTTAGGGTACGCATATGCTCGTACCCTTTTTTTGAAAGCACCCCCTATCTGAGGACTGCCAACATTTCCGAACCCCCCTTTCGCGGGCTTTTCGCGTGCTTTTCCTGCCTTGGAGACCCCCCTAAATCAGGAAAAATGCTCAATGTATACCCCCCTAAATTCGGAATAATTTCTCAGGAGTCCAAAGAGATGAGAGAAAAAAAGAAATACACCCCCTTTTTAAAGAAATCTCCGGGTGAAAAGTCAAATACACCCCTTTTTTTACAATTCTCGGGCCGGACTTTGTCGCACGAAAAGTACCCCTTTACCGGACATTTTGGCAACACGCATGCGGTCATTCCGACCTCTGAGTGGGGGGGGGGGGGGGGGGGGGCCGGGGTCGTGCTAGACCGTCAGGCGTGAATTTTGGAAAAAGGACGGCACGGGGTATAATAAGCCCTATTTGTCTGAATTCGAAGCGAAGCGCGGAAGCTTTGACGTTTCCTTAAATTATTAGAGAAAGAAGACGATTCGTTGTACCGTTCTCGACTCGTCTAAATAAAGTTTTCATCTTCCGCGCGAGAAAGGAGGACGATTTTAAACCCCGACCCCCCCCCCCCCCCCCACTCAGTGTTATTTAGGGTACGCATATGCTCGTTCCCTCTTTTTGAAAGCACCCCCTATCTGAGGACTGCCAACATTTCCGAACCCCCCTTTCGCGGGCTTTTCCTGCCTTGGAGACCCCCCTAAATTTGGAAAAATGCTCAATGTACCCTCCTAAATTCGGAAAAATGCTTAATTTACCCCCCTAAATTCGGAATAATTTCTCAGAAGTCCAAAGAGATGAGAGAAAAAAGAAAAAACACCCCCTTTTTAAAGAAATCTCCGGGTGAAAGTCAAATACACCCCATTTTCTTACAATTCTCGGGCCGGACTTTGTCGCACGAAAAGTACCCTTTTACCGGACATTTTGGTAACACGCATGCGGTCATTCCGACCCCGGAGTGGGGGTGGGGGGCAGGTTTTGAACCTCTGATTTCTTTAGCTGATATTATAGGAAAGTAAAACTTCGAGAAAATACAAGTATTGTAATTTTAGTCACTCTCGAAGTCGTCACAGCGGATAAAAAGTCACAGTTCGTAGGGAAAACTTGTCGGCCGACCGACAATATACATCTCACCGACTTCAAACTTCTGCATTGACAGTACACGAGGATCGAGCAAGAATACCGACGCAGCTGACCCGACACAGCAACATTATTTACCCGTGTCTTTCTTGCTCCCTCGACGAG